AGTGAAAGCTGCTGTGCGAGAGGGTGGTGCCCCAGAAGAGCACCATCGACAGGGGGTGTGAAAAGTGGAAATAGCGGTGGAGTAGCGCGAATGGTGAAGCCGCCAGGCCTTCTTCCAAGCGGGCTTGCAAAACTCCAATACTCGGACTAAATCCGCAGAAAAGGGATCTGCAATCCCCTATCTGAACACCAGCAGCGCGCATAGCGGGACCACCTATCCTCATACTGAATGTTTGTCGAATCCGCCTCAAAGCCAGAATTGTGTCTGCAACTGCTGCAGGAATTCCGGCGTGCCTCGAGGCTAGACCTGACAGAGGCCAAGCCACCCACTGAATCCTTGGATTTGGGTGGAAGCTCCGTTCTGAGTGAGAATGTCGGTCGTAAAGGTAATAGAACAGGAGGCTGAGCCAGAAACCTGAGAATTACGGAAACCAGCTCTGTGGATGGCCAAAGCGGTGCCAGTAGCACAAGCAGCCGAGCTGGCTGGGTGGACAGCTGTGAAAGGACACGGGAATGAGTGGTAGCGGCGGGAGCCCAGAGCACTCTGCCCGTCCAATCCAGCAGGAAGGCGCCGGCAGCCAGCGCCCCTGGGTCGGTGATTCGAGAGCAGAACACGGGTGTCTGATTCGTCCCGCCCGGACGCAAAAACAGATCCACCTGGAGCGACCCGTACAACTGGGAGATAACTCTGAAAATCTGCCTGTCGAGCATCCACTCGTGCGGGGCCAGGATCCGGTGAGAGAGCGTCTGCTCGCACGTTCTCCAGCCCCGGAGATAAACAGGGAGTACATGACAATCGCACTGGTCGCACCAGAGTAGAAAGTCCCACGTCTCCTGGAGGAGCACTCGGGACACCGTGCCGCCCTGCTTCAGGATGTACGACATGGCCGTCTGGTTGTCCAACTGAAGACGGACTACCTGGCCATGGACATGCTCTCTGAAGCTTCGAAAACCAACCGCACAGCTCTCAGTTCCAACACGTTGATGTGAAGGTGGGCTTCGGCTTCGGACCAGAGTCTGGACACCGACAGACTGCCCAGAACACACACCCCAGCCCGTGAGGGACGCATCGGTCTGAACTGTGAGAGCTGGCGTCGGGATTTCCAAGGGGACCCCCCTGGTGAGATTCCCGACATTGGTCCACCACTGAAGGTGAGGTGTCAACCACCCGGGGACTGTGAGACTGCGCTCCAGGTCCTCGAGTGAGCCCACAGACTTCGCCAAAGCTTGCTGTATAGGGCGCATCCTCAACAGCCGCCGCCACACTACAGAGATCGTCGCCCGTGATATGGCCCAGTAGGCGGAGCCAAGTCCGTGCTGGTGCCTGGGGCTGGGAGAGGAACGAAGACACCATCTCCCGTACTCTGGTGATCCGGTCGGGTTTCAAGGAAACTAGATCCTTGTGTGTTTGGAATCTCGCCCCGGGAAAAACCAAGTCCTGGGTGGGTACCAGGTCGGATTTCTTGAGGTTGATGATCCCAGTCGAGTCGAACTAGAATGTCTATCACTGTGTGAGTAGCATCTAGGCTCGCTGGCTGTGTTAGTGCTCCGAGCAACCAGTCGTCGATGTAAGGGTAACAACGCCTTCCTTGGCGCGGCGGCGAGGGTAGCCGGGACTAACATGAGCTTGGTGAACACCCGCCGGGCAGTGGATATGCGAAGGGAGCACCGTGAATTGGTAACACATCCCGTCGTAAGAGAAACCGAAGGTACTGCTTGAACGATGGATGTATGGGCACATGCGAATCACGCATCCTTGAGGTCGATTGGCGTGAGCCAATCGCCGGGCTGAACAGATGAGATCACCCGGCGCAGTGTCTCCATCTTGAAGGATGGTACCGAGCATCGCGGTTCAACCCCTTGAGGTTGAGAATGGGGACGGAACCCGCTGTCTTTCTTCGGACGTGGAAGTATGCGTGGAGTAAAATCCCGCCTGTTCCTCTCCCGGTGGAATGCGGCTTTCGATTGCGGACTTGTCCAGCAGAGCCTGAACCGTCGCGCAATATGTCCGCCCTTGCCTGACATGGCGGCACCGAGTCGCGGCGTATGCCGGTGAAGTCAGCGGACCTTCGCTTCCACAGTGGTAAATGGCCTACACTGATGGTGGACAGCACCCAAGTGTTGTTTGTAGCCTTCTCCCACTCCGGCAGGAATAGAGAGCTGCCTCCCACTGGGGCGTTGGGTAAGAGCGTCGCGTTGTCCCAGTAGCGGAGCTGACTGGGCGTGACACACGGCTGGATCGACAGCCTGATGGGTTAACGGGAGGTCGGGGCAGACCTCCCGCGCCCGCGAAAAGGCTGGGAGCTAGTTGAAGAGGACTGCTCTTTGCCCTTACCCTTGGCGGACCTGTTCCTCCGCCTACCCCTGCCAAGCGGCCGAAGCCAGCCAGCGGACTCGGGTGTAGGCTGCACCCCGGCGGAGGAAGGTGGAACGGGAGCGCGGGGGCGAGAAGCCAGCGGTTGCTCCAACAAGGCCTTAGAATCCTTGAAGGAGGTAGCTGCAGCGGTAGCCTCCCGTATGACCTGCTGTGCCCCGGGAAACAGCGTCGCTCCCAGACGGAAGGGAAGGGCCAGCAAGGTCTGCTGTGTCGCTGCCGAGTAACGAGACGTCGACAGCCACAGCTTGCGCATCCCCATGACTGCGCACATCACCGTTGACGCAGCTGACCGCAAAGAGTCGGCGTCGAGGTGGGCCTGCACTTCGGACAACTGACGGAGTAGCACGACATGCGGAGAAACGTCTCCAGCATGCCCCTCCGCCTCCAGGGCCGACCTCTGTATCGAGGAGAGGTAGGCCTCATGGACCACAACCCTGACCTGCTGCATAGCGTTCCGGAAAACCTCCTCGTAGGTATGGTACGCATGCCGCAGGGGGGCGCCCGCGAGGGCAAACGGTGGTGTCAACCGACCTTGCTGAGCAGCCGGAGCTGCTCCGGAGGAAGCCGAGCCTCCCCCCAAGGCGACCGAAGTGAACACGCACTCATCCACCATCGGAACCGCGAACAGGGAATCCTCCCCCAGCTGGTACCTCCGGACAAGCTCTGGCAAGTCGAAACGGAGGCGAGACCCAGACAGGAGGGGATCCACCACGTCCTGGACCAACGACGGAAGCGTCCTGGAGGCTGCCTAGGGCAAAGGGGCAAGCGCCTCGCCTGGCAGCTGCCTGGGGCGGAACTCAGCCGTTGCGGACCTCCCGCAGAGCCGAAGAAAAACGGAAGGCACCCTCCTGCTCCTCGACACCCCAGTATCCATAGACTCGGCGCCCGAGCCCGAAGTCTGAGGCTGGGTCTCCTCGCGAAGAGGACCCTAACCCCGACCCGGTGGGCGGCCTAGCACTAGGTACAGCAGAGAGGGAGGAGCAGACAGAGCGCCCCGCGTCAGTGCCTGCAGTCATGCACGGACCCCGGTCCCGAGACGCTGGAGGCAGACCAGGCAGAACTGGTGCCTCCGCTCTCATGGGGCGGGAGGGCGCAGGGATCGGAACCCCAGGAATCATCAACGGTCCCTGCGCCAACTCCGAGAGGGGGACTGGGAGCGAAGCCTCCCCCTCCGGGGCAGCCGAGGCGTCCGGACCCGAAGCCAGAGGCAACGGATCTACAGACGCCTCAAGGCCGAGGGATCGAGCCAGGCTCGGCGATCCCACCCCCAGACTCTCCGCCCCACGCTCAGAGTGGGCGAGGAACTCCTGCCGGAGTCCTCCAACCGCCTCATGAACGAGGGACCTCATCGAGTCTGCGTGCTGCTGAAACATCTGTGTGATTAAAGTCATATCAAAACCGCTTCTAGTAACGGGAGAAGGGGACTGGCTACGGGATTTGTTTCCCTTAGAGCGCGGCTTTTTAGCCTTAGACAGGGGCACCTGGGTAAGTTCCCCTCCCACCTCACGCATTTCTCTGTAAAAGAGGAAATCGGCCGCCCTCCTCTTCTGGGCCCGGGGGGAAAAACCCATGCAAATTTCACAAGTTTCGGCAACATGGTCCGTCTTCTCCAGACAGACGATACACTTATCGTGTCTGTCGGCCCGTGGGATACTCTGCCCACAGACCGTACAGGAGGGAAACGCCTGAAAGCAAACACGCAAGCATGTAGCTAACAGCGGACCAGCAGCAAACATACACGTAGAAAACATTGAAAAATACGTGAAGGCTACCACGGGAAGAAATAGTTGGTTCAATACGCAATATTACAACCACGTGGCACGCTAAACTTCCCGCCATGGCAGAGCAACATGTGCATAAACCACGGGAAAGTTAGCGTAAAATAATTAATACAAAGTCACAATTATGAAACAACCGACCGCGAAGCTTTACAGGTCCTTGCAAGGACATAAAATAAAGACCATACATACAGGTGGTGTCTCAGACATATCTCATTCAATTTCTTTAGGAGAAAACAGCGCTGCACGGCACATCGAACACGTCTTCACATGTGAGTGACAGCAGAAGGAATGATGATACGGGCCTAGGTGCTTACCCAGTTGGTGCGCATGCGCAGCGGGAGGTAACTCCACGAGGTGGGGGCCGTATAATAAATAAAAAAGTTTATTTATTGTACAATCTTTTTATTCAAAAAACATTGATACAACTGTCACAGGACATTTTCAGCGTGGAAAATGCATAATATGTACCCCAAGGACGATCTCTATGAAGAAGAATGTTGGTTTTTAATTGTTCTACTTCAAAACGAAACCTTACCTCATTGAGCCAACAGTCACATACTCCTCAGTTTTAACAGAGAATAGTAAAACACCTTCAGGCAGATAAACACATATGAGATATGCTCACAATCATTATGCCAAGGTGAGAAACAAATGTTCCTCAGTTTTCACAGACCCCAACTATCTGTGCAATGTATGAAATAACAGAAGTTTCAGTTTTCTGAGTTATCAAATGACATCAACAATGTTCTTGTAACCATGGTAACCAGACAGAAGTGCTGAAAGAAGACAAGGACATCACCTCCTGCTGGCCGAAGCCTAGAGGTAAACTCAAGTGGTACTCACCACCATGGGGAGGTCAATGGTCACAGGGGTCGGGTCGGCTGCTGCCACCACCTCCTAGTAAGCAGCAGATCACATTACAACCTACCTTTCATCCCTTAACCTTAAGTGGACTCTTCTATGCAAACTTCCATAGATATATATATTGTGCATGCACAATGGAGGTCATTAACTGGACATATAATACCAACAGACATTTAGCACTTCGAAAATTAGCTTCAAACAGGAAATGAGATCTGAGGTACACTTTGAAACATTTATGGTTTAGAACATACATATTGAAAGAGTTTTCAGAATGACTAAGTTGAAATCTTCCACAAGTCTATATTAAATCCTTTAGAATGAAACAAAGGAAAACAAGTTCAACAAACATAATAAAATGATTGATATTCATATCAAATCAAAACTGAAGAATAAACACAATTAATCATGAATCAGAAAGTATCAAAGCATAGATAATCAAAATAACAATGGTGAGAAAATGCAACTGAAAAGTGAAAGCAATGCTTTGGCAAAACTCAAGTCTCATACTTGGCTGTGTTAAAGTGGTGCTACTACAAAACCAATCAATTAGGCTCCTTTCTGTCAGCTGATGGAACGATACCTCATTCTATCCAATCTAGTTGCTAGTAGGCATTAGTAGCTAGATAATCATCATCATAATAATACAGAAAGATATTACTTATCAAGCCTTGAGAACGATATCATTATCAACATACTTGTAGGTATGTAAACTTGGAACAATATTTCCGCCTATATAAAAATAAATATAACTTAAGTTGAAATCTTCATCACATATCCAGTGTATATCCATTCTGTTAAAGTAGTATGATAAACACTCATACCTATTTTCTTCAGGAGCATCTTTAAGTCCATGTCAAATGACTAGCTGCTAAAGAAGCAATTCAATTAAATTACACTCATCAGCACCAAAATATGACAAGGTGATAATTCAGAAAATAAATTGACAGAAACTTTTTCACAGTAGTTATCTTAATAGAATGCAGATACAGTAACCTGGATAATGAGTTTGATTTATCGGTCAACAATGTATGAATTTGACTGTAACAGGCTGAGATATTCAAGAAATGTTTATTTTCTCAATGTCATCAGCCTATTGAGATAATCACTAGACACTTCAGTGCATGGTTAGGTTGTTGAAATCACATAGGCTTGTGTAAGGGCAGGGAAGAAGGGTCTCACGTTTGTTGTTAACTGTGATAAACAATCGTATCTCAATGCTAATCCCTATAAACAATTTTGATCTTGACATGCCTCTAAACAGAGCTGTCCCATACTGTTTTCCTAGCACCTAAAGGCCGCATCAAACTCACTTATATCGCCTAGCAAAGAGATACAGTTACCACAGCTAGTTTCTTGTGTACTATATAAAGTTCAATGGACACACGGGGATGATTATCAACAAAGCAATGTTAATGAATGTGCTATTGTTATTTGGCAAGGAATATTACTAAGATTGAGTGACACACTATTAGAATATTTACACTGGCCAGGCTTGACCCACTACAAAACTACAGATAGAATGAGTGAGAGAGTATGGTTTTACGCCACTTTTAGCAATATTCCAGCAATATCACGGCAGGGGACACCTGAAATGGGCTTCACACATTGTACCCATGTGGAGAATTGAACCCAGGTCTTCATCATGACAAGTGAAAGCCTTAACCACTAGGCCACCCCTCACTACAGACAGAATAGTCACCTACTTTCATAACCAAGTAAGTAGGCGATAAACGTTTCACATCTCAAGAAAAGATCCATTTCAGTTCAAAGCAAAACATTTTCAAATTTCACATTTTCACCTATATTAAGATAATAGGAAATATTTAAAATCTTTCAAATTGCTAAGAAATGACCAAAATATTTTTGAACCCCCCCAACCCGGTTATGCACTACTATTCCAGAAGGAGTTGACTCTAGAACATGATGAGTGAGTAAGTGGTTTACTACTTCTAAAGAAATACTGTAGCAAGTTTATGCTTGTGGTAACCTATAACGGGCTTTAATCAGTCCATGTGGACTATCAACCCATGTTTTTCAGCAAGATTCAACCACAACACCAATCCAGCAGTCTCACCAACAGTGTTCACTTTCATCTTGGCAGAAAACAGAAGTTGAAGAGGTATCTAATTCTCAAAACATCTTACAACTAACTGACAGATGATAAAGGACCACTGTATTCAAACCTTAATGCATGGCATATCTAGTTGCAGCGAACTACAAGCAAATTATCGGAGAATGCTTCCATACATTAGCTAGCAGAACTACATGGTGTACCCACTGCTGTTGGTATGACACCATCATAAACTCACGACCACATTCTGATAACTGAGGAACCTGACAATGTTCTTACAGTACAAAGCAGTAGAAAGCAAAGATCATATTTTGTCATAGGAGATTCACTACTGGTAATATCCAACTGAAAGATGCATAACAATTAATGCACTTATTCTGAAGACAGAATAGCTAAAATAATTCTACTCCATGAACATGAACCAAACCAATAAGATCAACAGGTTTTACATTAACTCCTCTAGTCATTCTGTATCTAATGATAATATGTCCTATGTTGTTTGTCTTATTCCTTCAGCATCTTCTACTAATAACCTTAAACCTTACAATAAATACCTTAATTCCTTTGGTACTTTACAAGAATACACTGTAAAAGTTGCAATAAATGCCTTATTCTGTACGTATTATCTATAAATATGTCTAATATGCCTGATTCAGAACACCTTATTTCTTCTGTATCTTCTGTGAATATGCCTTACTATTTTCATACATATTGTGGAAATGCCTAATCCACATGATGTAGAAAGCCTATTACTATGGACCGTCTGTTATTGCACCTTTTAAGTCTTACAAAAAGAATGCGTTACACCTTGTTATCATCTATGAAAAAGCCCAGCTCACCTGATGTTAAAGGCCTTATTCCTTCTTATCTACAGTGCACTCCTTTGGTATCTTATATGAGGTGACATGAAATGCCTTCTTCCTTTTGTTTATGCCCCATCTCATCAAGCCACACATTAAATGTTGTATTCCTTTCCTGACTACTGTGAATACACCCAATGAGTGAGCGAGTTTAGTTTTACGCCACTTTGGTATTCCAGCAACATGACGGCAGGGGGACACCAGAAATGGGCTTCACACATTGTACGCATGTGGGGAATTGAACCCGGGTCTTCGGCGCAACAAGTGAGTGCTTTAACCACTAGGCTACCCAACCGCCCTGAATACACTCAATGCATCTTTCACATAAATCAACTGCATTATTACTTCAGTACACTTTGTGAGTACACCTTTAATCGAGATATTAAATGCCTTATTCCTTTCTAAAGGACTACACCTTATACACCCCATGTATCTCTTATGATAACATCTGGCATAAAATGCCTTATTTCCGCTGTTTCTTTGCAGGGATATTCTTCTTATGCTGAAGGTCAAATGTCTTATCCCTTCTGAATCTGCAATCTTTGGCAGGCAACATGTCTTACAAAGGCCTTAATGCAACATTTATACCAGCTGGTTGTACAAAGTTATCCTTCATCATATATCAAATCAAATACTTAAGACAAACAAAAGGAACACATTGGAAATACTAGCAGATCCTTTTGCCAACCAAGTACACTTTGACCTGGCATATCCAGTTCTTTAACCGACAAACCTAACAGGCACTTGAGACCTTAAGGCTCTCACTGCATCAATATAACACGAAATGTACATGGATAGCTTTAAATACAACTAATCAGCAATCATGTTATGTTAACATCAGTACTAGGATGCCACAAATACTGATGGCGTTCCAACACAGACACAAACAGATTAGTGGAATGTAAGCAACATGTATGACAACAGAGGCTGAGAGAGGGAGGAGGGACCGCACAGCAGCTAGAGAAGCCAGCCAGGCAGCGAGCCAGGAGAGCTTGCACAGGACAGACTCAATGAAATCAACATGATACTGACGTGTTATTGACGACATACCTTGTCATACTTGTCAAGCTCCTTCTTCTTCTCAGCTGTGTATTTCTGTAGGACTACAGCATCCTGAAACATAGTACTATTTTCAGTATGGCACTCCATCTTAATGTGTGGATGAAAAACCTGTTATGACATAGGTAGGAACATGACAAAGTGCACTTGTATGAAACAAACATGATTGACTACATGACCTAGCTGGGATAGTACAGAACTATGCTTAAACAGAAACAATAACACAGAATTACATGCAGGCTAAGTGTCCAGCTTGAACCCCAAATTTAGTGAACATTAGCTGACCTAGCGGAGAGTTTTCCTACCCGGTAGAGTTTGGATGTATCCTGGTTGTAGTGCTTGGCGTTGTCAAACACCAGGTTGAGATCTGCCTGCAGCTCTCCAAGATTGCGGTACTGGGTCACCTGGAACAACCACAGACATTATACCCTCTTGTTGTCATGAAAATCTCAATCACAGGAGTACATCCCTTAGTCTGACCATTCAAACAGCTGCCAAATTATCAATTTGTTAAGTTGATATCATGCACTTTCGTTGGCAGTTCTTAAAGACTGTTGTTCTCCACGGAAAAGATCTGGCTTCACAACACAGTGTTATTTTCTTTGACACCAAAAGCAGTAGTTCGGGGCCAAATCAAGGCACCAAAAGGAATTAGTATAGTGATAGTATTTGATACTTATAATTCCATTTATAACAGTATATTTATTCTCTAGTCAACAGCCACTGAGAGCTGCTCTGGAACTAACAAATATGTAATTTTCTGAGTAAAATTGATATTTTATACTTATCCTGACTCATGTATCTTTGCTTGTCTCCTTCCTTTCCCGAACGTTAGTGGAACACTTGTATCTCCTTTTTGAAGCTCCCTTTCAAAAGAGTAGACGTAAAATCACTACTCACCATGAGTTGTGTCCCTCTGGTTTTGGCGGGAAAACAGCGCCACCTGTCTTCCCACGCTTCACTCTCTCCGAATAGCTAGCCCGACACTTGATTTACAGGGAAATCCAAAGTGCCTAGCGGGGAGGTTGGGAGGGCTTACCTCATGAGTCAGGATAAGTATAAAATATCAATTTTACTCAGAAAATTACATATTTTTCCTTATCCTGACTCATGTATCTTTGCTTGTAGAATCTGTCGGATCTGGTGGTGGGACAAGCCACTTCTGGATTCCAATTAGTGATTTACGTCTTGCATACCCCGCTATGGGAACTTCCTGGCAGCACTTCTATTTACTGCTAGGCTCTGCTGCTGCTGTAACCCTTTACTTCCAGCTTTCTCTGATGGGGGACCACAATTGTTAACTTTTGGTCCTTGCTTCTGTTAACATTATTATGTGGATTTTGCAACTCCATCTCTTGATGCAAGCATCAGTGGAGAAGCGACCCTTTATATGTAATGCGATGCGTCCTTACAAGTACTGGGTCTTATCACTTATGCTAGTCTGTCTTAGGCGTGCATATGGACTCTAAAGCTGTAACTCTCCTGAGTGTAGGCTTTTGCAAGTCATGTGATAAAGGGCGAGACTCCGTCTCAAGCGCCTCTGTGGAACTGTCAATTGTTGTGCTACAACAAGTGGGCCGAAATGGTGAATGCCAGAGACGTCCTCAGTGGCGATGTCTCTCAGGTAGTGGTTGGCAAACACCATGTCTGATTTCCAGAAGCAGCCCTCCATTATCGTCGTGATAGAGCAATTCCCACATAGAGCGAGTGTTGACGCCAGAGCTCTAATTTCATGTGGATTGGAGGCTCTTGGAGGATCAAGTCCTGCTGCTTTGTAGGCCCGTAGTATGACAGTTCTCATCCATATTGATATCGTAGTGCGAGAGATCTCCGTCTGTGTCGCTGTCAATATAGGGATGAAAAGACGCTTGAATTTTCGTCTCCTGGTTCTAGACCTTTATAGGTAGTCTTTCAATGCTCTTACTGGCCATTAGGATAGGTCCTGTGTATCCTGTGGCCCAAGGACTGATGATAGTGCTGGGATGTGGAATTGTCTGTCCAGTTGACCTGGCAGTTGATTCTTTGCTATAAAGTCCCATCTCAGTCCCATATGCACGATGTTTCGATTTTTGTCAAATCGTGTCCTCTCAAAGTCTAGAGCATGTATTTCCGACATCCTTGCTGCTGTTGCTAAGGCGATCAGGAATAGAGTTTTCTGCGTCAAGAACTCAAAAGATGTCCTATCTAATGGTTCGTAAGCGTCACTGGTGAGATGCCGTAGAACTATGTTGAGGTCCCACGCCGGAGCTTTAAATCTCTTTTGTTGGTCCTCCAGTTTAAAAGAGCGTAGTAAGGCCAGTAACTCTGGTACCTTAGTCAGTTTTACACTCGTCCTCATAGTGATAACTGAGCTCAATGCCGCTAGGTATGTTGAGAGTGTTGACCCTTTCAACCGCTTTGTTTGTCTTAGGTGACAAAGATAGTCCGCCACTTGAGGGTGTGTCGCTTTTATGGCTGTGAAGCCTGTTTTCAAGGCGTAGGTCTCGAAGCTTCGCCATTTGTCGTCATACAAGTTGCGTGTTGACTTGTGTAAGGCTAGCGTGACTGCTTAAGCTGCTCTGGCGGAATATCCTCTCTTATTCAAGCACGCCTCGATACGCCGGAACACCTGTGGGTTGCCGTGTGCTTGCTTTGTGTGTGGATGTACTAGCAAGTTCGTCCACTCTGGTAGTTGCAGTTGAGGCGGTCCTAGTTCTTGTATGAGAATGGGGAACCATATTCTCGCTGGCCAGTAAGGCGCGACCAAAATCAGTTGCAGGTTCTTCGTCTGTATGATTTTCTGCAACACTTTCGGTATTAGACCTGGTGGTGGAAACGCGTAAGCGTTTAGTCCTTCCCGAGAGATGCTTAGAGCATCTGTTGCCCATACTCGTGGATCTGGTATTGGAGAGACGAATGTTACCAGTTGATTGTTGAATCTTGTGGCAAATAGGTCTATGAGTGGCTCTCCTATCTCTTGTATGATCTGTTTGAAGATCTCTGGATGTAGCATCCATTCTGTTGGGGATGGCTGAGTTGGCCAAGATAGTGCATCTGCTATCACATTCTTGGCTCCTGGGATGTGGCATGCTTTTATGTGGATGTTCAGATTGTCTATTATGCTGAACAGTTGAAAGCAGAGGTTCAGAAGGTTCGCCGACCTTGTTGATCCTTGTCTGTTTATGTAGAACGCCACTGTGGAGTTGTCCGTGTGTACCGTTAGATGAGCATTCTTTAAAATGCTGGTCCAGTGGAGTATGGCGTTTATCACTGCTTTCATTTCCAGCATGTTGATGTGCAGATCTTTCTCGTCTATTGTCCATTTCCCAGCTGACACTTCGTTGTCGAGGTGTGCTCCCCAACCTTGGAGCGATGCGTCTACATAGAGATGAGTCTTGCACTCCGGCTCTGCTAAGTAGGTGCCTCCGCAAACATTCGATCTCTGAGTCCACCATAGTAGATATGGTTTTAGTCTGTCCGGGAGTCCGAAGGGGTCCGGATCGTCCAGATGTACATTCACGAAGACCTGTAGTGGGCGTAGTTGTAATCTCCCTCTGCGCGTCATATCCTGTGCTGATGTGAGGAGACCCAACAGGCTCTGCCACTGTCGTAGTGGCCACGGAGAGAGTAGAGCTTGCGATACCATCTGTTGTATCTTTAGCCAACGGTCCTCTGGTACTGATATGCCGTGAAACCCTTGCCATGTCTGTAAGGGAAACGAAGCAATGTCCGACTCTGTGACTGCCATCGTTGTGAAGTCTATATAAAGTAGACAGGCTGCCGTCATCAAAAGTCCGTCAAACGTATGTTGCTGCAATTCCGCCTGATGAATCGTCTTCAATGCTGACAGGGAAGGTATCTAACCTCGTGAAGACAGCCGAATCACGTAGTTCCCGTCTAACTGGACTGTAATTGAGGCCTTCCTCCCTCGTTGAAAGGTTGTTGTTACTTGTAAACAATTCCCTGACATGTAAACTACGTCCGACTTCTGCGCAGGGCGTTGTCTCTCATGGACCAAAATGAAATGAAGCATTTTGATTCCTTTAGCTTCCCGCGATGTGACGTCACCGGTGTAGCAGAAAAAAGGTCCTTGTAGAATCTTGTGCAGTCGTTGATATCTTATCAACACTCGGTCTTGTCCGTAGCCTTCCGGAGTTACACGAGTGACCACGTGTATCGAGGGTTGAAAGGTAAACGTGCGAAATATTTCGCCGCGTAATACCGATGTAGGTAGGCTGTTTCCCTGGCTGCTGTGACTGTTACTTCAGACCTGAAGATAATGCAGTCGCCCTTTTATACAGATGATCAGCTGAAGTGTACACCTCCTCAACGCTGCCACTTGTAGACTGCATTCATCAAGCTCAATGAAGTGTCGTAAAATACCCTCTTTGTGTTGAAACACACAGGTCCTTGTAGAGTTGATGGTCAACTTTGTTGTAAGTTCTACAAAGGGAGTTGTTGCTGATTTTGTAGTTTACATCAATCTTGTAACTTCATAGCCTTAGCAAGGCTGCTGCTGAACCACGCCAATGTGAATACCTGAAGATCTGTACGCAAGTGAAGATCTCTATATGGACATGAGTCCCGTTATTATCTTCTGATGTAGATATATCTATCTAAATTTTCTCGACGATGTGAATCCCGTCCTGGATTCAGTCTGAAGATCTGCGCAGGTGATGAATTCGGACAAGAGTACCCCTCTTGAACTTCAACACGTGTCCCTCAGTCTCTGCGCCGGCGAAGATCTCTTCCTTCGAGGGTGACGCTAGGTCCAGTCCATTAGCCATCCAATATTTTATCTGTGAGTCTGAAAATATGATACCGCCATCGTCCTCTGTATCATGTCCACTGGTATATGATCGTTGAATATCCTTGGAGATCTGCGGGGTGCGGGGTCCTTCGTGCAGCACTGGTCCTGACTTGAGCATGAGAGGCGGCTGCCTGACCATCATGCAAGGTCCTTTCCTGCGAAGCGCTTCTCCATCAGGTCCATCATCTGTTGGGAGAATTGCTGCATGAAGGTCCCGGGGTTGAATGTCTGCGACGACTGTAGAGATGACGCATCTGATAGGGTAGCGATATGGTCCAGGGATCGCTGTACCTCATGGGTCCCTTCTGCCAGTGTAGAAGGTAACTCAGACTGTGCTGACGTTACCGTTGCTGAGGCCTGCGTCTTCTTCTTATGCAGTATCTCTGGGATGAGGATAGGCGGTTCTTCGTACAAGCCTATTTCTTCCATCGGGACGATCTCGGCAGAGAAGGTCCTTGTAGTCTGTGAAGAGCTCCCAGTAGATCTCGTTGAAGCCTTAGGGGTGTAAGGCTTCTTCTGCAACGAAGATGGCCTCTTCTTCTTCGTATGGGTTGAGGAGTTGTCCGACGTAGAAGATCTTTCCTTCGACGTATTGGCGGACTACATCCCACGCGTATCTTCTGAAGACGCCTCCGGCAGGTCACTGGATGGAAGTATGTCGTCTGACAACGACAGACAGCTCTTAAGGGACTCAGCCGGTTTAGCCATGACTTGTAACAGCCGCCTGGATTTATCCTTAGCACGTTTCTAAGTACAAAGAAATAATAATTATTAAATTCAATTTTTGTTAGTTGCTGACATAATTTACAGCGAGAGCTGGAAGTACATATTGTTGTGCAACTAGGGCACAATAATGCGGGTCTGCAGCATAGAACCTAAACCTACAACGAAAAGAGGTTTTCATGAAATGTAAACAAACTGAACAATCACGTAAAACCGTGAATAAACAGTCAAATTATGAATAAATTTCAAACCATATTGTAGAAAGATACTCCCTGAAACCTTATAAAAGTAACTTATAGGGAAATAACTAAGTTATCAAAGGATATAGTGCCGTATTGGAGACACAGGTGCTCTCCCAACCGTCCACTAGGGCGAAGAAGGAGAGAGTGAAGCGTGGGAAGACAGGTGGCGCTTTTTTCCCGCCAAATCCAGAGGGACACAACTCATGGTGAGTAGTGATTTTACGTCTACTCTTTTGAAAGGGAGCTTCAAAAAGGAGATACAAGTGTTCCACTAACGTTCAGGAAAGGAAGGAGACAAGCAAAGATACATGAGTCAGGATAAGGAAAAATATTCATGGTATACTTTGGTCCTCTTGAATTTGAAACCATTTCACCCAGTACTGTAATCAGCTAAAACATATGACTTACTTTCAGTTTCTTTCGGATGTTGTATAAAGAAATAGGTTTCTTTATTTCCTCATAGTAGTCAGGGTAGAACCTGAAATAAAAACGTATTTCTGACAATGCTGGAAAGAACAAATAAAACGGTAACACTAGGGCAGCACCATCTTCATTTTAGTCAGCTCTTATAGGAAGGTAGGTGAAATCTCTTCTGACGGAAAATTCCCACGGGATTTAAAATGGTGAGATTGGATGACAATCAATAGCTTGTATCCAGTTAAGAGTCTACAGCCATATACTACAGTGTGCAATACAATCAAGGGATAGATGTAGCCCATGTCTGTATGTATAGAAACATTCTGGAACAATTAATGGGCCATATCTCCAGGGCATTGTACATGGCAACAGGAATCAGGTGGTTAAAATATTGATTCTAGCTAAACGTAGAAGGGGCTCACAGGATGTGCATCCTCCAGGTTACTTCCAGACACATTTATATTAAGTGCCGACACTTTATGCCTTCGTTCTAGCGTGTATTCCCCTTGTCAAATTCCTGGACATGAGATTGATGTATGAAATGACCCTTTGACCTCTATATGGTTGAAAGACATGGGCATAATAATCTTGTCAATAAAAACTCAATTATTTTTTTCTATTCGCCAATAATATTTAAAATGCTTATCAAACTATTACTGTGAACTAACACAGATTCATTGACATTTATCTGACTATTCTCACCTCTTGCTGGGCAGTTTTAAAAAAGGTTCAGACAGTTGGTCACCGTTGGGGGTCTTGTAGTTCTTGACAGCATAATACAAGCCCCACAATGGGGATTCATCCTCTGCGACACTGGTGTCCCCTTCTGATTCTGCTTCATAATCCATGTGACTCCCAGACTGGGAGGCCACTTCGGCATCCTCATCAGACTGGTATTTCAGTGCTGCACATACAGCAGACAGACGCTGGATATTGGTTCTCTCTCTTGTTCTGTAACACCACCATTCATACCACTGGTTTTACCGAACAGAAAATCATCATGACTCACAAAAATAAGCTAAGGTGACATATATTTACATCATGATGTAAATCCATGTGTTCTCATGCTTTTATTTATTTATACCTTATTCTCTCACTGCTCTTCAGCAAACCCTGTTTCTTGTACTCCAGTTCATGGCTCTTGGCAGCAATGATTTTCTTCAGGGAAACAGCATCCTGAAGTATATCATATCAGTGTTCAACACATACAGCCACAAGATATCTTAAAGCTTTTCTCTCACACTATTTATTTGGTAAAAGTAAATATTCATTCACTGATTATTGAAACTACATTTAAAAATGAAAACTATTTAAATAATTGAAAAAAGACATCTTGCCAGAATAGTTTCTATTAATATTGTGCCCCTATGATTGTCAAAGAGTCTAGTGGCCAGTGAAGATCCAGGTTAGAACTGATCTTCAGCATCCCATGCTTGTCTACAGAAGAGACTAACAAGACTGGGTGTTGGGCTTGCTGACTTGGTTGACACATGTCATCGTATCCCAATTGTGTAGATTGATGCTCATGCTGTTGATCACTGTATTGTCTAGTCCACACTCGATTATTTACAGACTGCCACCATATAGCTGGAATATTGCTGAATGCGACGTAAAAGTAAACCCACGCAAAGAGTCTAGTAATTCTACACACTGAGCCAAGATTGTAATCACTCTTATAACTCCCCAAAACATGCAAGTGTAACAACCTTATATATCTGAGACTTGGGTTCATTGAAGGTCTTGGCATTCTTGATCATCACCATGAGATCCCTCTCCATCTGTCTGCGGTACTTGTACTGGCCCTCTTGTATCTTCTGTGCAATCATCTTCAGATCAACAGGCTCTTTGATGATTTCAAAGTACTCAGGGTATTTCTGCAAGGACAAGGGCTACCATTAGCCAACCCTCAACATACAAACGGTGGTCCACACTGCCCACATTGTCAGGATATAGTAACAATGACGAAAACACAACAACCCACGTCAACTAGACCAACCACATGATCCATTAAGTTGCCAATTACAACCAGGACAGGTTGCTGGGAACCAATTAAGTTATAGATTGATCTAGGACGAAATTCTGAAGTAAAGCAGATCTTTGATATTTACCAGTTTTGAGAAACACAAGTATGGTGGAGACAAACCAAGAAACATCATCATGTCAAATCTGGGATTTAAACCCATGGCAAAATGTTCTGACAAGGGAAACAACTCTGCAAACTGCAGTGCCTCAGCTGACACCACAAACATGAGAACCACAGAGGATGCTACTTACAGATTTTGAAGGAAGGAGCTGGAAGATGAGGCTCATGTCACGCTCTCCATCCCGTGCTGTCATCACAGATGAGAAAAGCTGTTCCAGATCATCAGGATCATCTGGCTGGCCATCCTGGGGCTGGTCACACAGACTCTCATCTTCTGTCAGCTGATACATAGACAAACAGCACTTAGTGTTATGACACATATGAACATATTACATTACTCAGACAAAATGGATGCTCAAATCCAATTGATGATATGTCTTTTTCTTTTAACTTATATTTGAAAAAGAATTCTGAGTCTGACTCAATAAAAGGAAAAAAATAAGATTACAAGTTAGGAATACTTAATATCTTTCAGAAAGTGGTCAAATGTAGCAATGTTAAATCTGGGATTAATACTTCCCTGGTACAGTAGATGCATCCCTCTGCAAGTTTGTGTTCAAATCTCAGAAGGGACTCAATACATAAATGTACTGGAATTTTTACTTAACTGAGAAAATGTTATCCCAAATCATTACATTTGCTGGGGTTTTAAGTTTTAAAACACAACAACATGATAATAACATTTCAGAACTTAAAGATCACAATCATGATGAAAACCGAACAAAGAATGAATGGTACTTTTTGATAGGCACAGTGTTTCAACAGTCTTCACCAATGTTACACATAATGCATACAACATCTGTTTCAGTTATCTCATCGCTCTGCTCACATCATCATCATCCCCATTTCCATTTCCATTTCCATTAGATTTCTCCATGTCCTCCCCTTCATCGTCGTCTCCAACTGCATCATCTTCCTCTGGGTCAGCACGGCGAGGACCTCCGCCTCTCAGGACGACTGGCCTCCCCAAAAGCTTCAGCAATGATGTCTGTCTTCACTTCATTAAACAGATCCAAGATTTCACAGGCATCCTTATACTCTTGGGATGTTTTCTAAAGAGATAAACATTAAAATATGTAACTTCTCATGGCTGCACTGGCTACCAGTGAAGCAGTATTCCATCATCAAACCTATCAAGTTGGTAAAACTTGAATAATATGACTGTCTGCTGGCAAAATGCATTGTGAATGTGATGAGTATGCTACATATTGTGATACACTGGGAACTAAACTGTTACACAGCAGAGTGAACATGGTCATACACCACTTTAAGAAATATTCAAGCAACATCACAGAGGGCAAGCCTGAAGTAGGCTTCACACATTACACGAGAGAAATTAAACCCAGGTTTTTTATGGAATGAGCTAATGCTTGAATCAGTAGACAACCCACAACCTCATCCATGATATGTACACTCTATTCTGATGCTAATGTCTACACAACAATGGGAATATTCCACAGCCTGGTTTGAGGTTGCCACTTTGTAGCCATGGTTACATGGGAGAAAAATCACTTGCATATTTCATTGTTTTGTCCAACAATTTCATATGGAAACATCATCTGATAATGTATTGGGTTATACAAATACAAATGATAACAAACTGCAAGGAGATGAATTAAGCTGAATCCATGTCACTGAGTACTCACCTTATAGTAAGCCTTTGCATTGTTGATCATGAGCTCGACATCTGCAGCAAGCTGGTCAATGTCCTCATACTCTTCTGTCTTCAACTTCTGGCCTATCTTTAGTAGATCAATGGGGGTAGACACCACCTCATAGTAGTCTGCAGCAGTCCTGAAAGAATTGTTTAGTTAAACTATCTGCTTATCTTTTATCTTGATAGCTGCCTCATACTTATCAGCAAAACTACCAACATATATTCTTGAGTACAAACTGAGTGTCAAGTCATGTTTTACACATTTTAGGTAAGTGCATTGGGTTCAGTATGGGTTCATTTTGAACAGTATTTCAGTCATAATGCAATATATAACCTTGATGTGGGAGGCGAACCCAAAAATGATGCAGGTCCACGATGTAGTAAAGCATTCACCAAGTTGGTGGAATGAGTGAGTGAGAATGATTTACACCACTTTCAGCAATATTCCAGCAAAATCACCATGGGGGACACCAGATATTGGCTTCACACATTGTAACCATGTGGGGAATCGAACCCGGGTCTTCAGCGTGAGGAGCTGACGCTTGAACTATTAGGCTACCCCACTGCCCCACCATGTCGGTGAAACCAGTGAGCACAGGTGCTGAACCATCATCATGGAGAATCTGGGATTCCTTTCAGAAGATGTAACCAGCAAAGTAGGGCTGTAACGATGCATCGAACTATCGATGGATTGCAATTGTTGAGTCTCTGATAGCAATTAATCAATGGTAGAGACAAAAAAAACTATCAATGCATCGATAGTATGTGTGACTATCGATAGTTTAGTAATTGACTTCCGTTGAAAAATGTGCAGTGCAAAATACAGGATGATTGGGTGCAGACTTGCAGCTTCATTGAGTTTATGTTTTAACTGTTTACTTATCTGGGTTTCAAGTTTCTTGTCAGTTATTAAACAAGACTGAAACTACTTCAACTTGTTTTTATTTGATATAAACATGTAATGTTTCAAGTAAAATTGATATTTTTATACTTATCCTGACTCATGATCTTTTGCTTATCTCCCTCTCCTTTTCGAATGGTAGTGGAACACTTGAATCCCTTGAAGTTCCCAAACTTGGAGTTGGAACCAAAACAAGATCTGCAATTTCTGGGGATAAGGTTTATCACAACACAGAATCGTATTGTCCTCCCAGAAGATCGTTGGGTCAAGATGCAAGCCATGATTCCACCAGCAGTCATCTCCGTTAACACTACGATCATGGCAAGTTCTACTCGGTCTACTAACCTCGGCGCAGGACTTGACTCGCGCAGGAAGGTTACAACTAAGACCGCTGCAACGGTTCCTGACAAAACATCTAGACAGCGTCGACGCTATCTTGCTGCCAGACAACCTCAAGAGGTATCTACTATGGTGGACGCACAGGTCGAACGTTTGAGGAGGGACCTATTTACAAGAGCCGGCCTTCAACTCACATCTCTACTTAGACGCTTCGATACAAAGCTGGGATGTGCATCTCAACAATCAAGTTGCATCAGGAAGGTGGTCCAAAATAGAGCAGCATCTTCACATCAATCTGCTGGAGATGAAAGCCGTGATCAACGCCTTACAAGTATGGTCGAGCTCACTGAACAACAAAATGCTGATGGTCCACACGGACAACTCTACAGTGGCATTCTCCATAAATCGGCAAGGATCCACAAGGTCTCCAATCCTGCTACAGCTCACATTCCAGTTGTTCCACATCGCGGAGGAAGCAAACATCTGGATAAAGGCATGTCACATACCCGAAGCCAAGAACGTACTTGCAGAAGCTCTATCCCGACCACTGCATCCGTCACCAACAGAATAGATGCTCCATCCAGAAGCGTTCCTGCTCATCATAAGGAAATAGGATCCCCTTGCATAGACCTGTTTGCCACGAGGTTCAACAAACAACTACAGACGTTTGTCTCACCGGTTCCAGATCCTCAAGCCTGGGCAACAGATGCACTGAGCATATCTTGGGAAGGACTAAACGCTTGCGCGTTTCCACCCCCGATATTACTACCAGGTCCAGAAGTACTGTTGAAGATCAAACAGACACAGGTGCTACAACTGACTTTGGTCGCGCCATACTGGCCAGCGAGAGTATGGTTCCTAGACCTAATAGAAGATCTCAAAAGTCCAACAATGAAGTTACCAGATTGGCCGAACCTACTCATACATCCGCACACCAAGCAAGTCCACCGGAACCCGACAGCGTTCCAGCTACACGTTCTGGATGAGAGCCGTCATATTGAGAGCCTATAAAGCAGCAGGACAAGAACCTCCTAGAGCTTCCAACCCACACAAAGTCAGAGCACTGGCGTCGACACTGGCTCTGCACGGAAATTGCTCTATACCAGCAATTATGGAGGGCTGCTTTTGGAAGTCGGACATGGACAAATTATACATTCATTTGGGAAATGACTTCAAATGAGACATTTCAAGGAGAAACAAACTATTGCAATAGTATTGCAATAGTAGTTCGGAATAGACTTGCTATCGCAAAAGTTGTTTCCGCCTCAATAGTCAACCCTACCAGCAAGTTATACCTGTCGAAAGAGATGGCGATATTGTACAGGTGTTCAGGCTAAATGACTGCATACCATTGTACACAGATCAAAGATAAACTTACTGGATTGTATGGTCCAGACATAATTGTTTAAATATGCCATCATGTAACTAGAATATTGCTGCTTCCAGTGTTCAACAATACTTCAGTACAGTGATTACCATGAAAACAGGCATCAAGTTGGACGAAAAGCACCAGAATTACTTGCTCTGCTGAGATCTTTTAAACTGGAGGACCAGCAAAGGAAGTTCAGAGTCTCCGCCTGGGATGTGAATGTAATTCCCACGTTATCTTCACGAAGTGATGCCTACTTAACCTCTAGACCTGACTACCTTCGAGCTGCTGACACAGAAGACTCTGTTCCTGCTTGTGCTAGCCACAGCAGCTTCCGAATATCAGAGATACATGCTGGACTTTGGTCGAACCAGATTCGACACGGGTAACATGCTGCAGTTCATCTAGGACTTAGATGGGACTTCTTTGCCAAGAACCAACTACCTGGTCAGCCAGATAGACAGTTCCACGTACCAGCTATCTACAATCCTTGGCCCAGAGGATATAGAGGACTTATCCTTGTGTCCGGTCAGAGCCCTGAAGATATATCTTCAAAAGACTGAGACAAGGAGACGAAAATTCAAGCCCTGTTCATCCCATTATCCACAGAGACATCAACAGAAGTCTCAAGAACGATGATATCATTCTGGATGAGAGCCGGCCATATTGAGAGCCTATAAAGCAGCAGGACAAGAACCTCCTAGAGCTTCCAACCCACACAAAGTCAGAGCACTGGCGCCGACACTGGCTCTGCACGGAAATTGCTCTATACCAGCAATTATGGAGGGCTGCTTTGGAAGTCGGACATGGACAAATTATACATTCATTTGGGAAATGACTTCAAATGAGACATTTCAAGGAGAAACAAACTATTGCAATAGTATTGCAATAGTAGTTTACTGGAATAGACTATGCTATCGCTAGAATAGTTGTTTCCAAGTTACCTCAATAGTCAACCCTACCAGCAAGTTATACCTGTCTAGAATAGTATTGCAAAAGAGATGGAAAAGTTGTTTCCGCCTCAATATATTGTACAGGTGTTCAGGCTAAATGACTGCATACCATTGTACACAGATCAAAGATAAACTTACTGGATTGTATGGTCCAGACATAATTGTTTAAATATGCCATCATGTAACTAGAATATTGCTGCTTCCAGTGTTCAACAATAAATGAGCATACATATATGGGGCAGTTCTGGAATTCCAATCCATAATCATACTATTCATAGGTCCAAGGTACCCAACTCCACAAATCAAACTGCATTTCCTCAGACAACCGGACCACCTGATACTCAATGAAAATACAGTTTTATTTTCGTTTTGGATTACCTTCGTTTTGGTACTCGAATGAAGGATTCACAGACGACTCTTCCATCTTCAGCTTTGTAGTTCCTGATGTTGTCATACAGCTCTTGACATAGGTCTTGCTGTAACAATGTATGTTTCACATATTCAAGTTCAGAAGTTGTAGACGGTAGACCTTTTACCATTGTTTCACCTCAATTCATACTGAAGTAATCAACACACATAAATAATGTTCTGGAGTCCACATATACATTATCTAAGCCGTCTAAACCTAAACAATATCACCAGGCTGCCAATGTCCTTGGAAATAAATTGATCTTAGTACTACAGCTGATCGTAAGCCTATGTTAATGCATGTAAGTTAGGTCAACTTAGCAGTAAGATCACTTTGCAGAACTGGGCACTGTTACACACTGTAAATGATGTACTGGAAAGTGTCTGACAAGGGTAATTTTGCTTAATAAAAAAATCTTCGCTTTATGGTGCTAAAAGAGAGGTAACTATGTAAAATGGTGTGAAGTACTAACGACGTCATATTGGAGAGGTTTCTTCTTTTTCTTAGCTTGAGGAGCTGGAGAATCCTCTCGTTCTTCCTTGCCATCCGGTGCTATACTTCTCTTCCGCTTACTGGGCATGATGGCAGGCAAACTGACTGAATACAAAACACACAAAGACTCCTGATGATCCATAAACATATATGGCAAATGTTCTGTCATACAGGGCTCCAGATAAGGGCCGTATCGGCGTAAGTACGGATAAAAAATATGCACGATACGGTAGGAAATAATTTAGAAAACCGGGGAGTACTGCACTTTACCGGGCGCACTTTTTCAGATTAATTAGCGCTGCTGAGGTTCCCTAACCCTAAGGATCGTAAAGGGTGCCTAGCCCTAAACCTAAGGATCGTAAAGGTTTGCATACCCTAACCCTAAGGATCGTAAACAATGGTAAAGGGAGCAGCGAGGTCTGCGCCCGGTAAAGTGCATTCTAGCCGCACTGGGGAGTACAATCGTCTCACTTAGACGTACATGCAACAAAACCCATCTTGTATACTGCACAAAATAATAAGTTTTATGTTAGTGACAAAGAAAAATAACCTATTTGCCTTTGCCACATCTATGATCAAAACAAAGTTAACTCGTATAGTGAATATAGTCCATACCAGTATTTGTGTTTGCTGACATAAACGGAGTTTGGCCACGACCCAAGATTCTAAACAAAATACAGTAAGCTCAGGAAATTTCTTTGTCCGCCAAGAAGTGCGTAAAAAAATCAATCACAATCGGCCTTCAACTCATAGCAGCCGCCATTTTGGACGCTTCCGCTCACGGGCAAACGAGAATAACAAAATACATTGATATAACAATAATAAACGCATGTCAGGCACATATATAATTGTTATACGTAAATATAAGATAGACCGAACTCAAATTTGTTGAAACAAATCAAAGACAGTGTTTTCAAAATGTTGATGTTGTCGAGCAGTGCATTATGGGATCGAGCACATGTTGACTACGATCGACTCCAGTTTTTAGAGAAACAGAAGGCGTGTTACTGAGTCAAGATGGTCAACAAATTTTTAAGTAAGACCAATGTTCGTGACAACCTCAGTATATTCGGGCCTTACTTGATTACATCTAATAATGAAAGAGTGTCAATAATATTTATTAAACGACCAAATGTATTTTATCACTTTAGCTGTCAATCTGATCTGAAATCCAACACATTATGTGATAATGTACGCATAATTTATACTGTTATCCGAAATTGTCACAATCATAAGCCGTACTGGCGATACCATTGCATCTGAAGGTCGGTTGTGTGTCATCGTATACCTTGATATTAGGTAACTAGTTGTTCATACTATCAGCCACTAGTTTCTACACCTACTTCCCCTCAGTGTATGTACAGTACCGTATTCAGTTATAACAGTACCATTGACCGTGGATCCACTTTAGTCATGTCTGTTACTTTGTTTGACCCCACTTACAATATCCCAGGGTATGATACTGGCCCCTTATAATAATCTACCCGTGAAGATCCAGGATAGAATTTGTCTTCAGTAACCCATGCACTTGTCATAAGAGGTGACTAGCGGCATTGGGTGGTTTGGCTTGCTGACTTGGTTGACACATGTCATTGTGTAGTTAGATCGATGCTCAAGCTGTTGATCACTGGATTATCTGGTCCAGGTTCAATTATTTACAGACCACCGTCGTATAACTGGAATATTACCAACCAACCAACCTACCAGCCTACTTATAATGATGAAGTGTGGACTAGACAACGATGTTTATTTAAGTGATTGACATGATCAATCCATCAACAATACGGAAACAGTGATGACCAAGTAACAAAACCTGATCACCCAACCCATTAATAGGTGCCTTACAGCAGGCATGGTTTCTAAGTGTTATACATACATATAATGATGCACACAACACTTACTTTAACCATGCCAGTTTCTTTTGATACATATGTTCAAGTATTGCTACATTTCAGAATCCCGGAGTAAGCGGCAGACAACTCGTATGCGGGGCAGGATTGCCAAAAAGGTTTGGAATTTCGAAGTCTTGACATTTGCATGTACATGAATTTGAAGAGTTTTAGACTATGTCCAAAGTTTATAAAGTATTGGAAATGGGGATGGAGCTAAGTGCTTGAAACAATACTTGATGCTTAAGTGAAAACATTTGCTGTACCATAGTTACTCCAGAATATGTTTTAATGATTCATGATTTTTGTGTTTTTGTGATTGATAGCAGAAAGTTTGAAAATGTGAGTAACATGTCCTGTCAAACACAAGCAAAGAGAACACACAATGATATGATCAAGTGAATATATTTACATAACTCTGTAACAGCACACACTCAGCAACTACAAACAAAAGGCATAAAACGGATTTTTTTCTACTACTACTTCATGAACTGAAATACTGTTAAAGTTACCAATGCTGCTTCTATTCAGAACTAAATATCTCGCAGTTACTCAGTACCCAAGGACATGCCATACATGTGAACAGGAATTTATTTAGGTTGATATTGGTCTTCAGGCTATCAGGAAGTATGAGTAAAAATTCCCAATTTGAACATTTTAAGTTTAAGAAAATATGAATATTTTAAAACTACAATTTTGAACAGTTTTATCGTTTTCCGGTAAGAGTTCCTCCCGTTCCCCCATCCCAAATAATATTTATAAATATACTAAAATTATTAACAAAACTTAACACAACAGTTACTAAAGAACTCACAAAACGACTAAAAGTCCAAAATTTAAGTTAGGGTTAGGTTTAGGGTTAGTTTACGGTTGGGGGAACGGAAGGAACTCTTTCCCATTTTCCCCAAGTACCTGCTGAAGATTTGTAATCCTACATAAATCCCAACATGGGACATCCTCTTGCTCCATGTCACAGGTTGGCTCGTCACGCTGAAGACCCGGGTTCGATTCCCCACATGGGCACAATGTGTGAAGCCCATTTCTGGTGTCCCCCGCCGGGATATTGCTGGAATATGGCTAAAAGCGGCGTAAAACTAAACTCAGTCAGTCAGTCCTTGTCCCAGGGCCTGTCAACATCATTGCATTATGCACTCCACTCAACCAGCTAATTCCCTGGTCAAGATAGGTCTCCTCTCGTCACGACTGTTGAAGGATATCTGGCAACACACAGACAATCCATTTCCTGTAACATACAAATACATTAATAAAGAGAGATAAGTAAAGATTTGTAATCTACATTTCCCACATTACTGGATACTAACACCTAAACCCATTCAAGATGAAGCATGTGACTCCATCAGATGCTGGAAATACATTGGGTTGGATCCAAGTTGTAACCTTTACACTGCCTATATCCAGCTCTTGCTCACTACAGCAACATAGATGTAAACAACAACACTATTGTTTTATTCATACAGTATATGCATTAATACATTTGTGTATTATTTAGAAAGTATACACATAAATAAATGCTTGTATTATTCAGAAGAATTGCAAAAGAATAAATGCTTGTATCGAGCAGAAAGTATACCCAATACAAGACATCTAGCATAAGACTGTCTTAATGTCATGAGAACAAGCAAGTTGTACTCTACATGTGCTTCAGTTTACAATGATATTAACATATCAAACAACTGAGATAACTACGAACACATTTACACAGCTGACTTTCATATCAGCACATCCCTGAAAAAAACATTTGGATTACACAGCCTAGCAACATACTAGAACTACTTAACTATACAAATATTTGTAACAGAAATAGTTTAGCTGCCAGAAAACAAAACATTCTGCTCATGTCCAGATGACCCCAATGGTTGCAGAACCCAACCTTTCACTGTGAAGCTGGATTGTGTCTGCCTTCAGTGAGGCTCTGTTCAGCATGGTGACAGAGCTCAGCACTTGCAAATCATGCTATTCTACATGCTTGGCTGCACACAAACAATAATGTCAGAGTTAAATTACCCTCATCAAGGCACTCATGTAGGAAGTCATAGTCAGGGTTAACTGTTTCTGGCCTGCAGGTGTGAGTTTGGATCACAAAGTATGTAATCTAATTAAATTCAGTTGTTTGTGCTCGCTACTCTTACTCAAAGATCTGAGGACATGGCTGAGATTGTGTGGCAGTAATTACTATGGGCTATTGAAAATATCAGTTACAGATGTTTGTCCAATTAATTTTTTTTGACAGAATCAGTCGTACAGTGTCATTCAGAATACCTTTTGTTGATCCTTTTTGAGGTTACATGCTAAAAAACACATTTGACTGTCATTTTCCCAGTATGGTAAGCGACAGCTGTCGTTCATGGCCTATATTGGATGATTGGATGTCCTTTGACCTTTGTTTAGTGGTAGGGAGCAAAGATCTGATGTTAATGAGACAGACAAATTGTATACTGGATAGTGACAAAATGTATACTGGATGGTGACAAAATGTATACTGGATGGTTACAAAATGTATACTGGATGGTTACAAAATGTATGCTGTATGGTGACAAATGTATACTGGATGGTGGCAAAATGTATACTGGATGGTGGCAAAATGTATACTGGATGGTGACAAAATGTATACTGGATGTTGACAAAATGTATACTGGATAGTGACATGTACCAAGTGACTCAAATAGGTGTATCAAATCAGAAGGTGTTCCCTATTTTTATGTGTGTTTATGTGCATTGCCAGGTAAAAGAACACAACAGAAAGGTGAAGAGAAAGCAGAAAAAGAATCCCATCAAAAGTAAGTTCACGTCACTTTACTTACTGTCATTTGTTGTATCTTGTTCACTCGTTGAAGGGAATAAGATGCTGCAGAACTCGAAGTACATGTGCCATTTGCAGTACCAGAAACAGAACAGACTGCTGTCTGTCAACACTTTGAATTTGTTGCAGCTGCAGTGTCATGAACTCCTGCAGAGGTCACGTCAGTCAGAAATAGAAGGAAAGTTTTAGAATGATGGACTGCTCTTGTGCAGATCACTATTCATTGTGTGCAATGGTTGGTCCTGTTACAGGGAAGAAGAAGGATCCCGGGGTGCCCAACAGTCTGCCCTTTAAAGAAACAGTCCTGAAGGAGGCAGAGGACTTGAAGGCAAAGGTAAACTACACCATCAAGGTTGGAGGGGAGAGGCAGGAGCCAGGTCATCAGGATTGGGAGTGGGTCGATTGGAAGGGGTCATCATCCTGAGTGAGTCAGGTTTTCAGGGCTGGGTGAGTCAGGTCATCAGGCTGGGTGAGCATTGTCATCAAGTTGGGTGAGCGGGGGCATCAGGGTGGTTGAGCGGTGGTCATCAAAGTAGGTGAGCAGGGTCGTCAGTGTTGGTGAGGGGGTCATCATCAGAGTGGATGAGCAGGGTCTTCAGTGTGGGTGAGGGGATCATCATCAGAGTGGATGAGCAGGGTCATCAGGGTGGGTGAGGGGGTCATCAGTGTTGGTGAGGGGATCATCATCAGAGTGGATGAGCAGGGTCATCAGTGTGGGTGAGCAGGGTCATCAGTGTGGGTGAGGGGGTCATCATCAGAGTGGATGAGCAGGGTCATCAGTGTGGGTGATCAGGGTCATCAGTGTGGGTGAGGGCGTCATCAGGGTGGGTGAGGGGGGTCATCATCAGTGTGGGTGATCAGGGTCATCAGTGTGGGTGAGCAAGGGTCATCAGGGTGGGTGATCAGGGTCATCAGTCAGGGTCATCCATCAGGGTCATCAGTGTGGGTGACAAGGGTCATCAGTGTGGGTGATCAGGGTCATCAGTGGGGGTGAGCAGGGTCATCAGTGGGGGTGATCAGGGTCATCAGTGGGGGTGAGCAGGGTCATCAGTGTGGGTGACAAGGGTCATCAGGGTGGGTGAGCAGGGTCATCAGTGTGGGTGAACAGGGTCATCAGTGTGGGTGATCAGGGTCATCAGTGTGGGTGAGCAGGGTCATCAGTGTGGGTGAGCAGGGTCATCAGTGTGGGTGAGCAGGGTCATCAGTGTGGGTGAGCAGGGTCATCAGTGTGGGTGAGCAGGGTCAGGGGTGAGCAGGGTCATCAGTGTGGGTGAGCAGGGTCATCAGTGTGGGTGAGCAGGGTCATCAGGGTGGGTGAGCAGGGTCATCAGGGTGGGTGAACAGGGTCATCAGTGTGGGTGAGCAGGGTCATCAGGGTTGGTGAGCAGGGTCATCAGGGTGGGTGAGCAGGGTCATCAGGCATGGTGAGCAGGGTCATCAGGGTGGGTGAGCAGGGTCATCAGTGTGGGTGAGCAGGGTCATCAGTGTGGGTGAGCAGGGTCATCAGGGTGACTAATGTGCATCCAGCCATAGTTACCGTCAAGACCATGGTTGTCAGAACAGCAATGAATCCCCCCAGCCAGAGTTCATTTTATATATAAGTTGACTATGAACACTCAAAAGAAATTACTTTAGTATTTTTGAAGTTTTGTCATTTTCCTTTCAAAATATAGTAGGATTCAAGAAAAATGTGAGATCCACAAAATTGAAGAGGAATGCCTAAGTTTATTTTGTGTTATGTTTGATATAGAAAGTAGAAATTCAAGAAAAACTACAACAAAAGCGACAGAGGGAAAGAGAAAAACTACTGGCTAAGAAGAGAAATCTGGATTCAGTAGTGAATGATGCTCTCAGGAAACAGAAGGAATTTGACAAGGTAAGTGGTGCCACATGAAACTGTTGGAAAACAATGCATACATTAGTGGGATTACTCTGCATGTATTGGTGGGAGAACATTGGTTGTATGAGAGTGAATACATAGAGGATACTAAACTACCTTCCGTGTAATACCATTTTTATTAAACGAGTTAATGAAAATGGTATTTCACGGAAGTGAGTTTAGTATTCTGTTTATTACTCTCCAACATAACCTGATAAAAACTGCTTACGAAGTGTATTGACTTTCAGCTTTCCACGAGTCAAGCAAGGTCTAATACCATTTTGACACAGGTATTAGCATTGTGAGGTCATAACTGCAAACCATTATGACGTCATGCGTCTAGCAATATTACACTAGTGTAATATCGCCGTAAAAATATTACACTGCAGTATCTTCCACGGGCAAGTAATAATTGTGAATACAGTGCAACATGGTAGTGGGGGAGGGTGGTAACTTTGCCATCAACAAACACTGCTGTAACCATGGCAACAGTGGTATGAATGGGCAAGTTAATTGTAGCACGGTCGGGCTGGTTCATAGTTGTAACACTGCGTGGATATATGTGCTTCTCATTTCAAGTACAGGAGTAAAAATGAAAACCTTTTACTTTTCTTTAAGAAAAACGCAAAGGGAGCTGATGCACAGAAGAAAGGGAAGGCTGTAGAGAATTCATTGAAGACTTTCTATAAGGAGTTCAAGAAGGTACACATACCCGTGAAGATCCGGGTTAGAATTGATCTTCAATAACCCTGGTGCTTGTCGTAAGAGGCGACTAAAGGGATTGGGTGGTCAGGCTCGCTGACTTGGTTGACACATGTCATCATATCCCAATTGCATAGATTGATGCTCATGCTGTTGATCACTGGCTTGTCTGGTCCAGACTGGATTAAGAATCAATCAAGAAGGTACACAGGTGATGCTATTCCATAAACAAGGAGAGTCTGTGATAATGTCCCTCTTCATTTCTAATCATATTGTGGCTCTACCCTCATTTTAGCCCAGAGGATAGCCACACGTCAGTGTATTTTTTTTCTGTTTAATCATTGTATTTCTTCTGGATGTTTATGCTTCATCTTGAAACCATGTGCAGGTTGTGGATGCAGCCGATGTAGTACTGGAGGTTCTGGATGCGCGTGATCCCCTCGGCAGTCGGTGTACGGAGGTGGAGCAAGCTGTGCTTAACAGTGGAACTAACAAGAAGTTGGTGCTGGTCCTCAACAAGATAGGTGGGTACTGTATGTGCATGAGCTCCTTTGAGTTATTGTTGGGGATTGAGGTAGGGGAGCCTACTCTTCTCGGCCTGTGGAATGTGTTTACTTTTAATACTTTAAACTGTTCTAAGTATATGACAATATTTTCTACTTTTCATGAAATATGCTTAGTCTAATAATATTACATTTGTTGCTTAATCATTATATGTGCTGACTTGTTGTTTTAGATTTGGTGCCAAAGGAGAACGTTGAGGCATGGCTGAAACATCTACGCAATGAGTTTCCATCAGTGGCTTTCAAAGCTTCCACACAAACCCAGAGTGACAATCTGGTAGGTAGATCTCTGCTGTAGTGTGTAGTTAGCTTTATACATGTGTGTGCTGGGTTCCTGGGAAAACAGAGATCTCAAGATGCAGTTAGACAAGCCAGGTTGTGTGCCAGCTTGTACTTGTGTTGGCTCATGCTGTGTTACGCCATTTCCAATGCTTATGGGAGATTTGGATACTGTTGAACAAGGGTTAGAAGGTGTTAATGGTTGTCATAATTTAGGGTGACCCATTTTTGTGTGCACCTATTCACTTTCGATAGCTGTAAAGGTATTCAATTCGAATTTTGCCCCTTTTTGTGTGTAAGACAAGTATAAATTCACAGTAAGAAACCCATGTAATTCATTGTTCATTATGCTGGTATTAATATACCTTTGAAAAATAAGTAACAGTAATGTTGACTTGGGGAAGAATGTTTAAGAAGTCATGAATAGAAGTAGGATTGTTCCATCTGAATCAGTCTCCTTGTGGTAACCAATGCTAGAAATCATTCAATCATTTATGGAGAGTGACACAGTACACAAAGTATTCAGATTCCTTTTGCATATATGCTTCAGTAACTATGCAGTAGTACAGGAAAAGCCTGGTTCTGTAGTAACAATTGAAGATGCACATTTCAAAGAGGCCACCTTGACTTTTCCTGAAAGTGATAAATTCCTAAAACCTGCATTACAACTGTGTTTGTGATGAGGCGAGTGTGTTAGTCCTTTCTGTATGTTACCAGGCCCGATCAAAGATGAAGCTGTCTGCTGTCACTGATGACCTACTGAAGTCCAGCCATTGTTTGGGTGCCGAGGTGCTAATGAAGTTGCTAGGCAACTACTGTCGTAACCAGGACATCCGAACCACTATCAGGGTGGGTGTAGTTGGTGAGTACTTGTTCCAGATGAACTCTCTAGTTGAGTGAAGTGATTCTACCTGTCTTCTCTGCATGTATTTTGAGCTAATGAAAGAACCATCAGCAGTTCCAGCTTCCAGTGAAATGTATGTTATCAGGAACTGACCTTGTATGTTTCAGGATTCCCCAACACAGGAAAGAGTAGCATCATCAACAGCTTGAAGAGATCAAAAGCCTGCAACGTGGGGGCTATGCCAGGAATCACAAAGTGAGTCTCAGCCGTTGTCACAAGTCTTCAGTTGGGGCAGCAAACTTTGCCCGTAGTTGCATTCCTTAGGATCTGCTTACCATGAGCCCCAATCCTGCAGAGTTGCTTTTACAGGGATGGTCGTCTGGTTGTTCAGTGATGGCTATCTGGTTGTTCAGTGGGCAGTGGGGTAGCATAATGGTATAAGCGTTCACTCGTCACTCTGAAGACCTGGGTTCAATTACCCACATGGGTACAATGTTTAAAGACCATTTACGGTGTCCCACGCCGTGAGATTGGTGGTATATTGCTTAAAGTGGTGTACAACCTCACTCACTCGCTCACTCGTTATTCAGTGATGGTTGTCTGTTGTAAAGTGATGGTTGTCTAGTTATTGGGTGGTAGAACAGTGATGATTGTCTGGTTATGCAATAATTGTTGTCTGGTTGTGTAGTGATGGTTGTCTGGTTATGCAGTAATTGTTTTCTGGTTGTGCAGTAATTGTTGTCTGGTTATGTAGTGATGGTTGTCTGGTTGTGTAGTGATGGTTGTCTGGTTGTGTAGTGATGGTTGTCCGGTTGTGTAGTGATGGTTGTGTTTTGGTTTGCAGGTCAATGCAGGAGGTTCAGCTGGACAAACACATCAAGCTGTTGGACAGTCCAGGTGTGGTCATGGCACAGATGTCCTCGGACACCGTCACCGTCCTTAGGAATGTTGTTAAGGTAAGACACAGATGTCCTCGGACACTGTCACCGTCCTTAGTAATGTTGTTAAGGTAAGACACAGACTTACAACACAGTTTACACAGCAAGTCACTCTCTACAGTAGAATCTGTCAAACCTTGACTGTGTAAAATGCTGATAGTCACTTACCACCTACTCGGAGAACTGGTAAGGAAATCAGTTGGCCATCGATACAACAGAGCTGACACGGATTCAACTTAGTGCAATTTGTAGTATAATTAATATACGACAGATTAACTACACCATTATGGACGAATTAGGTGGACTTTTTTTTTGGTTACTAGTGTGCATTAATTGTTGGATACATCTCTGTTATACTGTTCTCAATTCACAGGGATAAACATTTATTGGTGGGCACATTTTTATCTTACTGTTCTCCCAGTTTTCTAATTCATTGCAGAACAGCTGCTTTATGTTAAATTTCAACTGTTTCACCAAACTTAATATGTCATCATATCCCAGTTGCGTAGATCGATGCTCATGCTTTTGACCACTGGATTGTCTGGTCCAGACTCCATTATTTACATACTGCCGCCGGAATATTGCTGAGTGCAGCATTAAACAAAACCAAAGGAAAACAAGCTTAACAATGTGCTCAAGATTTAGAGAGAAAGGTGTGGTGTATGGGAAATGTGATAAAGCCATTCAGCTACTTTATACTGATGCCCCCACTTGCTGTGTTACAGATAGAGCAGTTAGCAGACCCTGTAGAACCTGTTGAAGCTATCCTGAAGAGGTGCAGCAAACAGCAGGTATGTGCACCTCCGTCATATGTATCAAATCCCGGCTAATCCAGGTTGTTTGAGAGAGTCACAAAGTGAAAACTCACACAAGTTGCTGTGTAGGGGTCCCAAGACACTACCATCTCTTGATTTGCTTTGAAGGGTTCTCAGTTGTTCCTGTATATTTCCATGACCATGACTTAACTACTTCATGCTGATCCGATCTGTAGCTAATGAGCCATGACTTACTCCATCCAGCTGATGTTACACTACAACCTCCCAGACTACAATGGAGCTGGTGAGTTCCTGTCCTTGTTGGCACGGCGACGAGGGAAGCTGAAGAAAGGGGGAGTACCTGATGTGGAGAAGGCCGCTAGGAGTGTCATACAGGACTGGACCACGTACGTACCTGTAGCTACTCGCTAGCACCATTCAGGGCAATGCTCAAGATTACAGGACATCTCTGGTGCCATCACTTCTTGATTCTCTTAAACCTGAACCCATACCATTGCTGTAGCTGTTAGTGATTAGTGAGTGCCGCCAGAGAAGTGATACTATAACACAAATAACTATAATACAAATTGCTTTTGAAATTGTGGCCTAGTGGGATATGTTGCCATTTAAGTGTTGTTCGAAGAATGGTGAAATCATTTGTGTTCTACATGTACATTTCACATGTTCTGAGCAGCCTTCTAAAGAGTCTGTCTACTGGACCCTCTTGCACAAAGTGATCTTAGTGTAAAGATGATCGTAACTCCCATGCTCTAACATGGACAGTCTTAGTGATAAAATCACTTTATGCAGTGGGGGGCCTGGACCAAATGTTAGGGTAATACCTTTAATGTATGCATCTTTAGCGTGTTGATACTTTAAGAACATTAATCAGATGCTAACAGCAGTTTAGTTGTTTTACCAGGCACAGCCTGATCTGAGTTGCGTGTAGTTGTTGAAAGTTGTGTGGTGTTTCAGTGGTAAGATCACCTACTACACCCACCCCCCAGAGCAGACCAGCCTGCCCACCCATCTGAGTGCGGAGCTGGTGCAGGAGATGGGCAAGGCATTCAGTATTGAGGACATCAAGGAAGAGGAAACTAAAATACTGCAGAGTAAGTGCACACACACCTCAACATGACCTGTATATTTGTGTGAAATAACCCCCAAATGTCTCCTTAACCCAGTTTATTTGGAGTTGGGTACAAATATGAATGAAAGACAACATTTTATCAACACTGTGTGTAAATTCTGAAAATAGCCTTCAGGGTTTTTTCTCTATATATTTACAGGTCAACTATGTAGGCATTATGTATACATGAAGTCTTCTGTAGTGAATAATGATTTAATAATGGTTAGTATTTGGGGTATAAATACCTAACAGACTTGTACAAATGGGGTAAAATGAGAATAACAAATACTCAGTGACTCAGTAAATTATATGGAAAATGGCACTGGGAACAGGAGATGAATGTCCACCTGGTTCTGTTGGTGACTGACATATGACACTTAATATGGCTGGTATGAGAGCTGACCAAATCACATGGCCTGGCTTGGTGGTGCTGTTGATAAGACTTATCTTAATCTAATGGCTTATTGAGCTCATATAAACAGGGATAAGTCACTGGTTTGTCCAGTCCAGACTTCATTATGTTCAGGTTTCTGTGGTATGGTTGGTATATATCAGCCTGTAGCATAAAACAAAGAAATTACAGCACAGTATCTTCATGTTTCATACCCATGGGTGGTTCAGCACTATTCCCAACTAGGTGTTGATTCACCTGTGACCAGTAGCATTACATGGTCTGAGATAATGTATCTGTCCAAGTTTTCACAGCAATCTTAATATTTCAGATTGTTTGTATTATCTGTCTTAACTTCCAAAGGTTTAAAACCAAAGAGCAGCAGCCATGTGTTGATGGAGTCTCTGGGCCCAGTGAAAGGTATTGTCCAGGAGAGTGACCTGCCCACTGAGGAGGAGGAAGCAGAGATGGAGGAGAGTGAGGACGAGGAGGACGATGATAACGATGATGAGGATGTTGAGAACATGGAAGGAAGTGATGTGGAAGATGACAACGAACAGGAGGTACTACAGAACACTTCGCCTATACATGTAGATAGCTAATATGAATGTCTGTATGCTTCTACACTTATCCCAAAGTTTTGGGTATTTTGGAATTCTATCCAAATATTCATACTATTTACACCTACTCTGACCAAAATTATTGTTTTCTAAGTTGAAGAATTTTGCAGTTTTGAAGAACATTGTACTCTGAAAACCAGTAATCTTATTCATGAGCAGACACATAGCAGTAAATGTAGTATGTGTGATCAGCATTGATATCCTTCATTACACTTACTGTTACTCATTTTGTTCCTCCCTTTACCAAAACAATTTTGGTATTACCTGTTAATGTAGTTTGTAAGGTGAGGTGAGGTGAAATTGGGTTTTACGTCATGCTTGAGAATATTTCGCTCATATGACGACATGCATGGTGTGTATGTGTATGTGTGGCTGCTTGTACTAGTCCAGATTTAAGCTGGTTTTATAGTGCTAGCCCACTGAGATACCATGCGCAGTGAAGCATGAATACCCCACTCAGACACATTATACTGACTTCCGAGTCGACCAGTCCTTGTTGTACCCATTAATGCTAATGTAGTTTGTATTGTATGAAGAGCCTTTACAGTAGGTGTGTTATTTCAGCTAAATGTGAAGGTGTCACTTCCCAGTAGTCGGGCATCGTCCACCAAGTCATCTACACAGGTGCTGACAGGGAGGCAAGCCAAGGCGAAGAAGGAGAAAGGGGTTGCCGAGAAGACGGACATACTGCAGCTCAACAAACAGAGGATGAAGGACTTCAAGAAGATGAAGAAACAGAGGAAGAGAGATGGTAAGTAGGAAGCAGAGTAAGCAAGTGATTCTCAAGGACACTGGGGTTCATAATGCTGTATGGGTGTCTATACATGTTTATACCTGTGACAGTGATTTGATACAAAGTATTCATTTTGTTTCAAAAGTTAAGAGTCAATATTAATTATGATTTGCAGTTGACACTGAAGATCCTTTTTTGTTGGCAAAATGTCCATCCACCACTCATTTAGTCAAGATTTTAACAATTTCCAATAATTGTTAATTTGAAGCAATATATTAGTGATGTCTCCATTTAGATACATGAATATACTAGCGAGGTCTCCATTTATTAGTTATTTGTTGAGAAAAATAGTTGTATGTTTCCATAAAACTGACTAAGTTTGGGTAAGTATGAAGTTTGTACAAGTGTGAGGTACATCTGGATGAAACCCATGAGCTGTGATGTAATTGTTTGGGTAAGTATTAAGTTTGTACAAGTGTGAGGTACATCTTGATGAAACCCATGAGCTGTGATGTCATTGTTTGTCCCAGGTAAAGTTGCTGATAGCCTGTCTGATGCATTAACATCAGCGTTTGGATTTTCTGGGGACAACGTGGATGCAGATGGAGACTACAACTCCGATGAGGACTTCCACTGATGTTGTGACTCGAGATACTTGTTTAAATTGTATATAGACACCTTCGTCAGTGGAAGAAGGGTGATTGTACATTGTAAGAAATAAATGTACTGAAACATCATGTGATGGTTATTTTACAGTGACTAGACAACACAAATATATGTAGTTTACCACTTAAACACCAAACCAAGAACAAGGCAACACATATATATGTATGTGGTTTACCACTTAAACACCAAACCAAGAACAAGGCAACACAAATATATGTGGTTTACCACTTAAACATCAAACCAAGAACAAGGCAACACAAATATATGTGGTTTACCACTTAAACACCAAACCAAGAACAAGGCAACACAAATATATGTGGTTTACCACTTAAACATCAAACCAAGAACAAGGCTACACATATATAGGGTTAATGGGTTTGACACAACACAACACAAACATGCACGGTTTATGGTCTTTACGCTACACCAGGGCACGGATCAGATAACAGTCTTTGAGGTACATCACAGCAATAGGGCTTTTCAAGGTGTTGTGCAAACTTTACATTAGCAATCAAATTTACATTCTGCAGTCATATTCCCTTGATATCAAAAGTTCAAATTCAGGGGGACGGTTTTACTTATTGCTCTTAGTACTGTGTCAGTCTTTTATACAATCTTCACCATAAATTGTTTGTGATTAAACTGTAGTAGAAGTGGTAAAAAAATAAAAACTGCACAGGAAATACGCAGTTTCCTTATCCAGCATGTTTGCCCTCACATTTACAAAACAGTATGAGCTGATACTAGTATTTAGTTTAAAGCTGTCAGCTGCAATTTAATCACAGATGAAAGTGGAGGAACAATGGGAGTGTTGCAAACAGTACTTTCAGGTAATTGTGTTATGAGGGTATCCACAGAAAACTTATCCACACATACCAAAGAGAGATCACACAACCATGTAAAATAGTTTTAATAGTGGCAGTCTATATAGATGTACAAATATGAAAAACAAGTATCAGTGTAAATGGTTTAAAAGTCTTACTTTGTAGTAAAATCGTTCATGTTCCAACTAGATCCTCAGAATGATAGCACGAATAAACCCATCATATGTAATAGCACAATTCACTCAATGCCCACGTTGCATGTTCAGTTTACATGGCTTGTCATTTCATTTTACTCCTGACTTGGGCACTTTGTGTTAAACTAAGCTTTAAGAAGTCAAAAGCCTAAGCTACATGTATATAACCCCCCTTTGTTGTTTCACCACCCCAGCTGAAACATGGACAATGCAAAGTGGTAAGCAGACCGTAAGAGTTAGGATGAATAGGTATATTTGAGAATCACTTCAGATTTATAAATATATATACAGATTTAAATATACACATAAGAGATTCTCATAACAATTGTGTGAAGGAACTTTTTCGCAACCAGTAGCAAGGTTGTCAGCAGAATACCCACAGATCCAAACCACCATAAGTTACCAGTCAGTCTTTTGATTGCAACCAGTGGGCAGACGCCAACATGGACTAGTGCTGGAGGGGGCTGTACATTCTGCAGGACTAGATGCGATCATCAGGGGGCAAAGGTTTGTCATATTTCAGCTTCGTCAGTCAGTTTCAGAGAAGAGTATGTTTAAGACCATGCAAAGCACTATTCTCTGCAGATCAGTGTGAAGTTCAGTGAATAGGGCATCTACCTGGACAGTGGAAACTTAGTGGTGTGATACCCTGTGGGTCATACCTAAACATGTGAAAAGATGATACGTGTCACCTGTAATGACACTCAGCATTAAAAGGATAATACCAGCACTGTTAAACGTGAATGTGACATCAAAGCCCATTTCATTTCCCCACGCCACTGTGTATGTCAAGGTCACAACAAGACACAGGTTCATGTATCTCCAGAGGAGTTTGTAGACAGGTTGCATGTATTTTTACTCTTGCCTTGATAGCCAAGCCAGTGGACAATTTGACGGTGACCAACCAAGGTTGTTATTCTGGTGTCAATCTTGAGAATAAGCCTGTGAAGTTTACGCTTCAGTGATCCAGTGGTTTCCATGGTGATAATGCAGCGCTGACATTGATGTCTGCTTCATTCTGTTGATGTTACGTTATGTATCACATTGTCCAGGAGCATCCATGGCACCTACAGTGTGGCAGCTCATACAACACAACCACAGTGAATGTAGAAAATGTTTTAATGGTCATGATACAGCTTATGTACATCTCTCAACATATACACAACCAACAGCTGTCATTCCCACATTCTGTCTGTCGTGAGCAAAACGTACGATTGCATGTGTGTGTCACTTCTCCACACCGCATGCTGTAGAGGTCATCACATACACAAACTGCAATGTGGCACTATCATCACGAAGATTCTTTCCCGTATATTTGAGATCAAATTTCAATAACAGACAATACATGTTCGTTATCTAAATCCAAACTCCCCATTAATACTTTCTCAACAACTTATTCCTTTGAAGCCATCTGCAAGTGCTTGTGCTACAATAGCCTAAATATCATCCTAAAAACCCAGCTGAAGTATTCAGGTACCAACAAAATAAATAATATAAACTGGTCCGGTGTGTAAAACCACAACCAGGTCAATATCTTCATATCAACACACCCTGGGTACCAAATATAGCCCCCAAATAAATAAGCCAATTAGACTCCCTCAATGTCACTATACAGTCAGATCTACCATCTACTTGAAGTGCATCCACAGCTGTTTATAAAATGTAAGCATGCAAGCAGGTTCAGGGTGTTTATCTACAGTGATGGAGCATATTAATGTTCAACATAGGACAAACCAAAATTATAAAGCCATGTACGGGATGGTGTAAAGCTGGAATTCTATCAATGCATCCATTATGCGTCAGAATGAAAACTTGTAACATAATATCAATCAAGAACAATAACAACTGTCAGCACATGTGTAAATCATACCAACAAACATCGTGGTCAAGATGTCTTCAAGATTTTCTACACATTTATAAATGTAAAATTATACTCAGGGACATAGTTTTTGAGAATGTTTCTATATCAAAACCGGGAATATTGATGTTTGATGTGCGACTCATGTTATCTCAACCTGCAATGTTAAATATGTCCGCACTATAGAACATACCAACAAGGAAAGAGCCATTCCCAGGTACATTATCCACACAACAAACATTGCGTGTGTATCTGATGTATAGACACATCAGTGCTGGAAATAAAGCCTGCCAGTTTTGACTTGTGACAACATAAAAAAAATTAAGTATCATAACTATAGGTAAATCACAAGTTTGGTTGCATCTACATTCAAACTTTAACAAATGTGTCTTTTCATGTCTGTACATGTACTCACAGAATTCCTAGCATGTGCGAGTACAATGTCTCGCATGTATTCCTAGAATGTCTAGCACAGAATGAACACAGTGGTGAGACTATTTCAAGCCATGAATATGAAATGTTAAAAAATCATAAGAATGCATGTCACAGCAATGTGAATCAATGGAGTACAAGTAGCAAATACTGTACTTTGACTATCAGCCTACGCACACACAATACTGCCATTTGACCTGTTCCTACAGTCACACACCATCATGATACATCATCTTCCTCTTTGTGGCAGTTAAGAATTTATGACATAAAAATATGAAACACAATTTCTCACAAGCATTAACAATTCATAGGCAGAATTACCATTTCCTAATGACAACAAAAATAGGAGAATATATACATAATCTTATGATAAGTTGTCAAATTGGCGAAGTGGACATTTGTAAGAATTGTTACATGAATCACATTCATAAAATGGTGCACAGTTAATCCCAGCAACATACACTCCCAACTAAGGACAGTGATTTGGCAATAACTAGTCAATACTTCAACTCATATGGTGTTATACACATTGTAATTGAACACAATCAGCAGTAGGACCCTTAAGTACCTTCAACCAGGGGTTGAATGACACTATCATGACAAGTAGAGCATTGATAATTACATAATATCAGGTATCTCTCTTTTGAAGACAGTGAATGTCCAATGAAAATAAAATTTTGATATGGCAGGAGAGTGAATGAAATGTTCCTACAGGCATCACCAAGCAACCATTCGTTTCCACTTTAGAGAAACACCTTTCTTAAAATGTGACAATCAGGTACAGTTCTTTTTCAAGCTAATTATTCCTATCTGCCATCCCAGTTTAAACAAGGTCTTGTTGTGAACAAATTATATTGATTTTTGGCCCAAAAGGAACTACCATTTCTAGATGGTTTAAGATAAGGTAAAAGGTGACCTCAAGCACAACAGTCAAACATGACACAACGATATATCCAGTGGTCTAGGCAGTTCAACCATCCATCTCTTCCAACATTTGAAGGAATATATTAGTTAATCAGATCACATCTTATTAAATCCTGACATGTCAAACCTTTTGAACTAATAGAGGGAGCAAATGAATGTCATTGAAGTAGTTTTTAATTCAATCTTTTAAAAGTCATCATTTCATAGCTTTTCATTATGATTTCGCTGCAACAACCACAATTTCTCTTGCATGTCACAAGCAGCACTCTTGAACCAGCGGCTGCCAGGAACTGCTCCAGTGATCTCCCACACAACTGTCTCACATGATGATCCTTGGATCGGGTACGGACTCCGAGATGGACTTGTGTGGCAGGATGCGGCCCCCGTTGATGTACAGTTCATCTTTTACTATCACATCCTCTCCAAGTACTGACACATTCTCCATCCGCACCTGCAAAACATGCACCATTTCAAACAAACGTAGACTGAGTGAGTTGGGTTTTATGCTGCTTTTAGCAATATTCCAGCAATATCATGGCGGGGACACCAGAAATGGGCTTCACACATTGTACCCATGTGGGGAATCGAACCCAGGCCTTTGGCATGACAGGCAAACGCTTTAACCACTGGGCTACCCCACCATCCCTCATTTCTGCTGACAAAAGGAATCGGCAAAGTGGAACCTTAAGTGTGAGACTACTCACCCAGTTCCCAACTGTACAGTTCCAGCCAATGATACACGACTCCAGCCAGGAGTGAGACTTGATGGTAGCACCTTTGAGCACTGTACACCTCTTTATACAAACACCATCCTCTATTACAACATCTGGCCCTAATGTAACATTGGGGCCTATTCGACAGTTGTTTCCAAGCTTGACACTGGGATCCTAGACAAACAAAAACCCATAGTAACATACTGTTAGATCAAGCCTGAACACAAACATCAATAAACTTTCTCACCACCATAACAAACAAATGTCTTTCTCTGGACTCATTTAGAATTTTAAATAACACAGACACCCTCCTAATAGAACTGATCTGGTAAAGTAGCATTTCATGTTCCAAGGTTTCCCACAGCCTAGTGTATGATAGGGTTGAAAGTTTTATATTGTTAGAAAGTGTAATCCCAAATATAACATGTTACATTTGACCACTTTCTAAAGTGCATTGTGTCTTCAATGCAATGTTTTGTTTTTGAAAACACAATAATGGTGACGTTGTCAGCGAGTTAAATTTACTTCGTGCCAGCAATATTACAGCCATATAGCAACATGGTAATAGTGGTAAATCATGTAATACAAAATATATTAAGACTGTTAATACTGTTTGAAACATACCAGACATATGCCTTCTGCTGTTCCCTTGAAACTGATTCAAACAATATTTCTGCTCATTCAAACTAACTTACGATCAGCACATTGCCAACAATGGAAGGCCCCTGGTGTAGCTTTTCTGGGTGATTGTGTTTGAGGGAGTTCAGATATAAGCACATTCCTGTCAGGAAGTCCTTGGGCTGACCAACGTCCATCCAGAAACCTGCAACATAAAACACCAATCTTCATCATGTCTACACTAATGACCAGCAGAATGAAAAGAATGTTGAAACTGATGGCCTTCCACAATAACACCTTCCACTATATATTGAAGATTGGTTTGTTGTTTAACGCCACACTCACCAATATTCCAGCTATATGGCGGCAGTCTCTAAATAATCGAGTTAGGACCAGACAATCCAGTGACAACATCATGAACATTGATTTACGCAATTAGGATACTTCGAGACAAACAGCTTCTAATTGATTTGTATGTATAGTGAGTGAGTGAGTGAGTTTAGTTTACACCGCACTCAGCAATATTCCAGCTATATGGCGGTGGTTTGTAAATAATCGATTCTGGACCAGACAATCCAGTGATCAACAGCATGAGCATCGATCTACGCAAATGGGATATGATGACATGTGTCAAACAAGTCAGTGAGTCTGACCACCTGATCCCGTTAGTCGCCTCTTACGACAAGCATTGGTTGATGAAGGCCAATTCTAACATGGATCTTGTGGAAATGGTAAAGAATTTCACCTTGTAATTCCATTGCATAGAGTTCACCATCTTGGGCCATAAATGGAAAAACTTCTTTCTCTATAGATGTGGGTTGCAGCTGAAAATTGAAGTTACCAATGGAGCAAAGGTCTGACACACACTTTACAATACATTTTGAATGCCAACTATTAACAGTGCTATTGACTTTGAAGTAACTTCATTTATATATTTTAGTGTCATGTTATTACTGCTCATGCTTCTTATATTATATACACTTCTGTACGAAATTTACATGTTATGTCTATCACATAATCACACTGGTAGTATTTGACTGAACATGTTTATCTTGATGGGATGGAATAAATCACTCTAGTATGAAATGTTTTATACAAGTAGATCACTTTGAACATTTGATATCATTACTTGTTTGAAGACACCAGTGTGTTAAGCAATTATGCTCAAGGGGAGATAACTTAAAGCTTGACTAAGCCCTTCCAAACCAATATTACCTTGATACGTTTGAGCATGGACGGACTGAGGATGTACATTCCAGCGTTGATCTTGTTGGACACATATTCTTGGGGTTTCTCCACGAAGCGATTGATCCTCCCGTTCTCTGCATCATACACCACGACTCCATACTTGGAGGGCTCCTCGACTTTTGTCACCTGAGAACATTCACAAATTCTCTCAAGCACTCTACTTTAGTATGTAGATTCATATTTCATAGGGCACTTCTACATCAGTAAATCTGTATAAAGTGTACATTTCATCACAATGAAAAGGTAGTCATAACATCTGGTGGAGAACCTCTTTACTGGTTTTGCTAAGTCAAAGAGTGCTTGCATTTTTAGAAACTCTATCTTACACAACATATCCAGTAAATACCACATCTATACGCTAACACAAGAATCACTAGTTATCGCCAGATTCAATAACTCATTATTAATCAGAAGACACACCATTAAACAGGTAAATAACATCAACCAGTTAGTGCAACATTCATCACTTCATTAACACAACAATTTATCAGTTAATCAACACTAGACACATAACAACAATCATCAAGCAGCTAATCAACACTAGACACATAACAACAATCATCAAGTAGCCAACAACATTCATCATGTAATGAACACAACATTTACCAGGTTAGCCAACATTCATCACTTCATTAACACAACATTTACCAGGTTCCACAACATTCACTACCAAGTAACACCACATTCATTGGTAATTATGTCAGTACCATGGTATCCAAGACTAGGGACAGATGAAGGCACCTACCACAATGGTTCCCTCTTTGCCGTGGTTCCTGTGAAACAGCAACATGTCTTTAAAGGGGAAATCACAGATGATGTCACTGTTGAGCACAAAGAAGGGGTCATCGTCCTGTGTGAGCAGCTCTCGAGCTAGGGCAAGAGGACCAGCTGCAACATACAAACAACTATTAGAGAGTGAGTTAAGTTTTGTGACGCTTTCCGCAATATTCCAGAATATCATGGAGGGGACACTAGAAATGGGCTTCACACAATGTACCCATGTGGGGAATTAAACTCTAGGCTATCAAGTGATTGAAAGTAGGAAGAGCCATTCTGTACTAATAGGTCCAGTCATGAGTAGTCAGTCAAATCACTGAGCCACAGTACCTGTATATTTTCTGGGGTTAGCGAGATCCCAAGTAACCTGATTGTATGTTTTTCTGAAGATCTGGCAAATCTAGTCATCAGTGTTAAACATACCTGTGCCAAGAGGTTCTGATTCTAGTGATATTGTGATCTTAATTCCAAGCTGCAAACAAAACAATGAAAACATTAGGATGCTATTCACATTAATTTTACCAATTCTAATATGTTCAAACTTGTATAAATAAAATACTTTTCTGTATGAAAAAGCTTATCAGATTGAAATGATTGTTATAAAGTTCAAGTATCCATGATAATAGGAGTTAATACACAAATGATTTATTATATATTTAAACATAATATACAAAAATATTACACTTTAAAATCACCTAGTATATACAAGCTGAAATTAATAAGGCTCTCTTCCAAACAAGAAAATGACTCACTCTTGCAATATTCAGGTCTAAAGTATAAGCTACCATTAAGAAACCATTTTTGATCTTCAAAAGATAGCAAGTCAACGTATTGTAAGTGCAATATCACACCAGGGGACGATAGAAATAGTATCAGTACAGCTAGCAAACCAATTAGGAACTAGGGCTGGCTAAAATGATCAATAATCAGAAATACCATTGACAGGAAAAATTAGTAATGATTATCGACAGGAATATTGTGATATCTATAATATCGTACATTAACTTTTTGTGATAGATAAAGGTTTTCATTTTCTCACACAACACAAATTTAGGACTATTCACGGTCTGCTTTCTAAATTATGATCAGGATGATGTTTTGTTAATCCTCCATACAAAAACATGTCACCACTCATCAGTGATGTGAAATACATTCATTTCTTTCAGACATTTTTGCTCAAAGTTACGTCTCTGATATTTATCAATAATCAATCAATTTTAAGTAAACGATTATCGATCGACATGATTCTAAGTAGGAATTCTACAGATTAGCAGAATGTTGTCCTCTCAGTTTGCCACCCACTTATTCGTATTGTAGAGTTTATCATTTCAGGCATTGATTTCCTCCCATGCTCTTTCCTCACCTGTTCTTCTAAACACTTGAGTTCCTTCTCCATCTGCTCGGCCCGGTAACTGACTGCCAAGATGATGTGCTTAACACCTGCCTGGAACAAACCAGGTGTGTAATCGGTATTCTGTCAAACCTTGCTGCAGCTAATGATAATAGATGTATTCATAATTCAGGTGTCACTAGGAATACAAATGTGAGCTGATCACATATTCAGAATGCCTGGCTACCTCAGTGACCGTCATCAGGGCAACTGGTAGAACAGCTGCGACAGGCAATAATCAATACTTTGTATACTGGTGGAAAAAGTGGTTGCGTCAAATGTTACATTTTACTGATATGTGAGCAAGTTAGTTGGGTTTAACAGCATTCCAGTCAAATTAGGTGTAAAAGAGCGAAAGCCAAAAGAGAGACAGTGATAAAACATCTACATGGAAGGTGGGCTGACTGAGGACCCTTGTCGGGTCATAGAATGCTGAGCCCCCTGGGTCTCTGTCTACTGAACACACCAGAATACAAACATTTTCAAAATTTTAAAGTGTTCCCTTAATTATATCGTTCAGTTTATCTCTATTTTTTCAAACAATTTTCTGATTGCCTCATTTTAATGTATCCTTTGTAAGCTGATCTGTGCTTGTACTTTAAAATTGTGAGGACTAGTTCCTTTACAGTTCTAACAAAACCAGGGGCGATGGTAGCCTAGTGGTTAAAGCGTTGGCTCGTCACGCCGAAGACCGGGTTCGAATCCCTACATTGGTACAATGTGTGAAGCCCATATCTGGTGTCCCCAGCTGTGATGTTGCTGGAATATTGCTAAAAGCAGCGTAAAACCAAACTCAGTCTAACAAAACCTTGGTTTTCTTGAGGACATTTTAGATGCCCCAGATCCGGATTGTCAAAAAGGGAGGTTACTCTGTAGATCCAACTGTTCATTCCACAACATTGAGACTACATGAAAATGTTCTTATCAATACATTGTAACTACTGAAGGTTAGTCGGTGTGAAGTGTGGGCTATTCTCCCATGCAGTTCTGTAAATGCAAGGGTACTGTAACACAATTAATATCCTGCAGTGCATCTGTTAAGTACAATATGCTGACAAAGAATGTGAATACTTTCATTGTTAAAGGGTAAATAGAAAGCTTCTTGTAAGTATTTAGAAAATTTGATGTAAAAATTGATGGCACTTGAAATGGTAATACTTTGAAGTAGTTTTGATGTAGGGAAAACATAAAAACAAATCCACATTCCTCTACTGAGGATAATGATGATGAATGTCAAAAGATGAAACAGTTACCTCAACTAGTGCCTCCACCTGGTGTAGCAGCATGGGCTTGTTCCCAAATTCAACCAAGGGCTTGGCTTTACTGAGTGTTAACGGACGTAACCGTGTGCCATACCCACCGACCAGGATCAGAGCCTTCATGTTGCCAAGTTCTGTAACAACAGCAAATATATCACCATACAGTGTGCCACTAGGCCGTATATCACCATACAGTGTGCTACTAGAGAGTATATCACCTTACAGTGTGCTACTAGAGAGTATATCACCTTACAGTGTGCCACTAGATAGTATATCACCATACAGTGTGCCACTAGATAGTATATCACCATACAGTGTGCTACTAGAGAGTATATCACCTTACAGTGTGCTACTAGAGAGTATATCACCTTACAGTGTGCTACTAGAGAGTATATCACCTTACAGTGTGCTACTAGACAGTATATCACCTTAAGTGTGCTTACATATGTTACACGCAACAGTATATATAAACTTATCATTCATTTTCTTAAACTGAGAATTAATTTAGCATTTGACTTACTTAAGTTACATATGTTATATTTGGGATTACACTTTCTTAGTAAAGTACAGATTATAGTACTTTTTGGATTGAGTTTCATCCGGGATTCAAACCCACACCCTCAGAGTCAGGCACCTAATCGCCAGCACACAAAGTCAGCCGCCTAACCTGCTCAGCCACTGCGACTTCCACAAAATGGAAGTGGGACAACTGGTAGTCTAGAATGTGGACTTTGTGTACCCCTCTGATAAGTATTAATTGGCACAGCTTCCAAGCAATGATAACACAATGCCATTTAGAAAGTGGTCAAATGTAACATATGTTATATTTGGGATTACACTTTCTTAGTAAAGTACAGATTCTAGTACTCTTTGAGTTGAGTCCCATTTTGTGGAAGTCACGGTGGCTGAGCGGGTTAGACGGCTGACTTTGTGTGCTGGCGATTAGGTGCCTTACTCTGAGGATGTGGGTTCGAATCCCGGACGGGACTCAACCCAAAAAGTACTATAATCTGTACTTTACTAAGAAAGTGTAATACCAAATATAACACGTTATATTTGACCACTTTCTAAATGGCATTGTGTAATCATTTGACTTAAAGTCGAAATTTTGAACTAATCAGTAAATCCTCTTCTATATTGGTGTAGTTGTCAGTGAAATACAACATTACAAGACACTGCTGCAAAGCCAGAAAGGTGAAATTGCTTCATTCCAAGTGATGATGATTTTACTGACAGTTGCTCTATCTGTGAAACAAGGACCTCTGTGCAGGTCTCAACAATTCTGTGGATTACATGTAATAGGATTTTTGGACTTGGATTTTGAACCAGTTTTCAAGGGCGTGGCCAAAGATGTGTCATGGGTATGTGGTCAACCGTCACAGTCAGTTTTGATTTTGGTTACTTGACTCAAGTTACTCTAAAGAAATGAAGAAAATGAATGAACTCCATGTTGTTCCCAGGATACACTCAAACTGCCGCTATGATGATGCAAATGTGCATATGCTACATCCATAGGAGCAGGAGTTTGCCAAGGGATAGTGATAAAATGAAGCCCAGGGATAGAAATACTTTTTTTTCTAAGTGTGCCTTAGGGCACCAGGCAAATATTTTAGGTGTGCCTTTCAGAAATCAGGTGTGCCCACATGTTTTTAGAATAAATGACTGTAGCAAGGATGATGATCTTTTGAAATGTATTGTCAGTAAACAACAAATGTAACCAGTGTTCTGTTATCACTGATATGTCTTCTGCTTAAGATGGCTTTCTTATGTTACATTTGTTCTGCTTTCCCATCACCTTTAATAGCTAAGAATCGTGTGAGAGGTTCACTTTTTTCAATATGTCTGACATACAGTGTATGATACACAATTTACTCTTCACTAACCGAACTATCAGTACTCACAACACTCTAAATGGAAAAACAACCAGATTTCTTTACATCATCCATCATAATTCCAGTGATTTCCTGGGCATAAAAGTCAATAAATGTTTTTGTTTGTTTGTCATTTGCTTAAGTGTTTTGTTTGGGGGATTAAATGACTAAAGGTGTGCTATGTCTCTAAAAAAATAGGCGTGCCATAAGGGCACCAAGAACATTTGTTATCTGTGCCATTTCGATATTTACCGTGCCATGGCACGCTAATACATGGGGTATTTGAACCTATTACCCAAAATTTTCTTTCTTTTAACATTTGGTAATAACAAAGAATATCCTATGAAAATCTTAAATACCAAGAAAATCTCTTCATGAAATTTGCCTCTAGCAAAATCCCTGCTTAAGTTGTAACACTTCAGATGATTTAAACCTCGATCTATCATTGCTGACGTGATATATAATCATGTACCCACAGTAACATCTGTTGACGTTGACGGTGCCACACATTGATATATTCTATATTTGTGTCACACGCTAAACCCACTGATAGGAGCAATTATTAACCATAAACCTACTGCAGTGTGTGGACAATCATATATCTAATCATAGATCTAACCACACAGTGGAGGGGATCTAGAAATGGAAACTAATAAGCTACATCCAAGCTCTTACATTATCACGATCATCTTGGTTCTCTCAATAACTGACAAACTGGCCCGAAACACTAATGGGGTTCACTGGTCCTTGAGGCTTGATTGTATAGTGACCCCTTAAGTTTGAATCCAAGGACCACTTAAATATTAAACTTAACCCATCTGGACTATGCTGGGCCCCTTTCAAACTTTATTTCAAACACTACCTGACAAAAACACCCTTCTCACTATTTCAATAGTCAATATAATACTAGCTGTATTATCTTTACTTGATTTACCTTGTTAAGCTGTTATAAATATAAAATCGATAATACATACATGCAAATAGAAGGAAATAAATCTAAAAAGCAAATGATACTCTCATCAGAACCTGAGTCTTGAACAAATTCACATCTGCTCACAACAAACTATTGACACTTTCATGCATATCAATCATCTAACTTTGCCCAGTTGTATATTTATGTTCTCACCCTAAATGCAACAGGTTTGTTAAACAGTAAATGACAGACATGTTATTCTTGCTAAGTGAACTTTATGTAATTAAACAGTAAAACGTTACCTTTCTTCATGGTTGCCTAAGTCCAAGGTGTAACGTGTGACGTAGCCAGTCTATACCTACACTGACACAAACGGAAGACCGAGAGTTTATATGTAGGGCTACAGCAAACAATCCATTGCCCTATACAAGCTGCTACATGATCAATGGCTGCAAAGCCCCACAGTGCTAGGGACTACTGCCTTTGATACAGGTATTTACAATGTTCAATGCTTGAGTGGTCAGACTGAATGCCATTTGCCCCCCTGGAACTTGAACAAGTAGAATTAGTAATTACTTTCTTTGATTTAGTTAAGTGCAGATTTTGACTTCTCATTAGGTTTTTGTTAATTAATATATTGGCTCCACAAGTTTCTCAATCTGCTTTATACCGAACAATTTCCCCCGATCAATATCTAAACCTGTCCATAGACTCCATTCCTTTTTCCAAAACACCCAATTTTGTAAATGCTCTGTTATCAAGTTTGAGCTACTAAAAAAGACTAGTTATGAGAGGTATATGTCAGTGTATAAAATAGTTTTGAAATGTGGCCTGTCCAAGGAATGGCTGTCCAAAAAAAGTGACCAGTCCTGAACAAACCACAGCCAGTCCCCAAAACTAAAACTCTTCATTCAAGGCAATTTAAGTTTATTTTTTCAAATATTTCGCCCGACCAAAAGACGGCCTTACTTATTTAATAGACTGTCTTTCACAAAAATAGACCATCAAGGATGGTGGGACGGGGTATATTTTATACTTCAAACCCCTTTTATCCTGACCCAAGATTATTCATCTGATACAAAATACACGCTACATAAAGTGCATCATTTATCCAGAAATCAAGTTTCCTGGTCCAGACAATGATTATTAATTACCAACAGTGTAAAACACACACTATCATGTCCTCCTTACCGGACAGCCACCATGCTTGACAATGTTTGTCTGGCAATTCATTATCCGTCCTTCAGAAAGGGATGGTATAATAGGGTCATTCTCACTTACCCAGCACCTTTTGTTTTAGGGTCCCAGTTTGTATTTTAAAATAATCATGTTAGAACACATGCTTGATACAAAACGTGCATCTTATATCTCAACTTATTTTTGTTTGTAAACTATTATATTAGTTTTATTTTGGATTTCACTCAATATTGTTTATATTACTGGTTACATTTACATAATCGCATTGTGCCATTATCATCTAAATCATTTTAGTAAATGCTGCTACTGAAATAACACAATATTGAAAATTATTATTCCAGATATAATAATGGTTTCTGATACAATTTATCCCAAACATGGCATAAAAATTCTGAGTGTGAGATTATTGGGTGTTTTGAAGCTGCATCAAGGTTATGTTGAGCACAAACGTAAGTACAGCTGATTTCCAATCTTAATCTTAATCAAGTCTGACTTACATATTGTTTGACAAATTAGTTTTCACATGAAATTCCTATTACCATAACAAATGCACTGACAATGTGTTAAGAAAGGCACTAGGCCCACTCAACAAATCATTCCTGAACTACATGGCTGTGAACCTTTGAAGCCGCCATGGACCAGAATAATGCTGCATGCTCAGGGTTTTACACGACCCGTAAATGTGCAGCCAATATGCACCTGTATCACCTCTCGAACAGAGCTTCCGTCACTTTAAAGCTCAACAACAAATAAAAATGACGCTTCTTAGTGATAGTTGGGCACAAACCTACTTTCAAAAGAGCAGCTTCATTCCAGCAAGCCGTTGATATATTCCTAAACCTTTCAGCTAGTAAGAGTGAGTGAGTGAGTATGGTTTTATGCCGCTTTTAGCATTATTCCAGCAATATCACAGCAGGGAACACAAGGAAAGGGCATCACACATTGTACCCATGTGGGGAATCAAACCCAAGTCTTTAGCGTGACGAACGAATGCTTTAACCACTAGGCTACCCCACCGCCTCTCAGCTAGTAAGATGTTTTCTTGAATATTAAGAAGGGGAAGACTACTACTAGGTGATCCCAGTCATATTTCCTTCATAATCATATTGGGTGACTTTACAGCAGTGATAGAAATACAAGTTTTTGCCTGTACCTTTTGAAGAACCAACTTAAAAACATAGCAACAATTATGTCAGTTCGAGTCATTGTTTAATTAATCAGTAAACATCATGTAAACCTGTAAACTTGAAAGCTAGATTTCCAGAACACCATCATGACTTCAAAAATAATTAAGCTTCATTTGTCCTGGACCCATAAACTAAACAGCAAACTATATCATCATCGAAAACATGATTTCCTGTTGTGCCAGTCTAAGTAAACTTAGGCTCAGTATTATTCGTTACACTGCTATACTGAGTCTAACGAACCCTAGTAGAAGGTCGCGTCAGCCTACCTTTGAGCGACCAATCAAATGCGAGATGGCCAAACGGATTTAACCAATCAGACAACGGCTACTGTTCAGGGTTCTGCGGGACTTACAAAATTCCCCGGTCACTGATACTGATCTCTAAACAAACGAAAATCTGCATAAAACACAGATATTTGACCTGCAGTATATACACTTAGGGCTTTCTGATGGCATGGTTACAATTAGCTAATATTTCCACAAGCTGACGTCCTTGAATATTCACAAAAACACTATTTTCAGTGACTGTTTACTCACTGTTGTGGCCTGCTCAACAAAAACAGCATTCAGAATCGTTCGGGTACAAACTTTTTCGAAGTAAAAGTTCAAAAGGTATGTACGAATGTCAACTTTCGCGATTGGGTAAGCTGTGTTCTGATGGTCAATTGAAAAGGTTAGCTGATGCAACCTTCTTCTAGGGTTTGTTAGACTCAGTATAAGCAGTGTAATGAATAATACTGAGCCAAAGTTTATTAAGGCTGCCTGTTGTGCTCACCTGGCATTCAAAATTGCCACACCCATGCTAAACTGTGAGATTGAGAGTGCCACCAATAAACAGCTTGATGGGTTGCAAAATAGGTTTTAAATAATATTAGTTGGTCAATTTATCGCATTTTCCATTAAATGAATCATGTTAAGTATTATCTTATAATTTTAGTCGTGCCACCAGGGCACACTGAAAATATTTGATCTGTGCCATTTTAATATTTACCGTGCCATGGCATGCAAATTAAGCACTATTTTGATCCCTGTTAAAAAATATTTATACATTAATCAAATCAGAGCTAGCAATATTTTTGGAAAGAAACAGCTCACCATATTTACTTTATTCTGCATTTAGACAAGCTATGCCATGTCTTGTTCATGGTTCACATATTGTATCTATTGTTTATCTAGCGGTCATAAAATTTCCGTGTCCCATGCTGGACCTTCTGATCCGAAGTCGGACGCCTTGTCCACATCACCAAAGCGGTTAACTCCATCAGCAAGGTGACAAGGTAAGGATGTCAACAGAAGGCACGTCCTCAGGATACTGAGACTTATTTTGTTCAAATTTACTATGAATGTGCTCAGCTCCACATTTGTCCTATATAGCGACCACAAAATTTATGAGTCCCCTGCTAAGATTCGAACTATGGACCTTCTGATTACAGAGATGCCTTGTCCACATGACCAAAGAGGCTAACCCTGTCAGCAACCTGTAGGAAGCACTTGGACTTGAAACAAAAAGTGAACATGAGGAGATTCCAAGTAAAAATAATGCCATGTTAAATCCCCCCAAACAAACATACAAATAATATTGCTTTCTGGAATCATTCTGGAATATATAGATATATGTAGATCTTATATGCAGATTTTATATTTCAAAAACCAATGAAACATTCAGACATCCTAATAGATATTTTTCCATTACAAATTTCAACATTGCTTTGTAGTGGTGTTCCGATCAATTGAAATAGATGAAGATTGGTCGCAGTGACCAAACGACTTCACATTTTCTCACATTCATAATCAAACACAAACACAAACATTTTTGGAACTACTGTTTTAGCCTTTGAAACACTTGACGATGGAACATATCTTTGAAGTTGTCAGGGCCTGAAAACATGGTTAATTCTTATAAAACTCACTTCAAGAAGTGAAAAGTCATGACTGAATATTTTTTGAAGACTCCAGGAAGTTTCTGTTCATGATATATTAGTCATCACTTTAAAGTAGCAAGTTGCATCATGTTATATATATCTGCAATAACAAACTGGATAGGAAAATCTGAAAAATGACGCTAACCAATTTAAATATATATTATTTCACGAATGGGAAAAAGAAATTATGAATTGGAGATAACTGTTACAGTTAGTTGTGAGAAAACATCTATTTGTCCTGTCATGATTCCCTTCCCAGAAGGCTTCCGCTGCGTTAATATAAAAACACGATCAGCAGCAGTGAACAAGCTGGACACATCGGCAAATAGCTAATTAAGTATCATACTTAATTCTGTATTCATTAATTTAACGAATGGCGGAGTAGCAAGTTGCATCATGTTATACATATCTGCAATAATAACCTGGATATTCAACCAATTCCCAACAATATTGCTTTGATATTAGGCCTTGAATGTAGCAAGCCAAAACCTGCCTAGTGAATATTTATTCAAACAGTTGTGTTAAAATATTGAACATTATTACCTGAATATACTTGTAAAAAGTGACTTTAACTAGACTCGGTAACAGATGGCAATGCTATCATAACTGTGTACTGGCCAGCGAACAGTTATCGCTGCGTAACAGTTTTCGCCAATACATGAGTATCACAGGTGGGCAGTTCTGGTCACTTACAATTCTGGTATTTTTCCCCCACAGTATTTGACAACAATGAAGGACAGCAAAAGAAAATTCTTCATGGTAAGTGAGTGAGTGAGTGAGTGAGTTTTAGTTTTACGCTGCACTCAGCAATATTCCAGCTATATGGCGGCGGTCTGTAAATAATCGAGTCTGGACCAGACAATCCAGTGATCAACAGCATGAGCATCGATCTGCGCAATTAGGAACCGATGACATGTGTCAACCAAGTCAGCGAGCCTGACCACCCGATCCCGTTAGTCGCCTTTTACGACAAGCATAGTCGCCTTTTATGACAAGCATGGGTTGCTGAGGACCTATTCTACCCCGGATCTTCACGGGTCTTCATGGTAAATTAAAGATAATGTTATGAACCCTATCCATTTGGTTAACTTAGTTGGGGGGGATGACACATGATCGATATAATAACAAGTTCAAGTTCACAAGTCATATATTGTTTCATTCCCTAGCAATCTAGTGTAAAAGAAACACTCAAATAGTCAAACAATCAATTATTACTGTATGATATAAATATATATTATTTCACGAATGGGAAAAAGAAATTATGAATTGGCGATAACTGTTACAGTTAGTTGTGAGAAAACATCTATTTGTCCTGTCATGATTCCCTTCCCAGAAGTCTTCCACTGCGTTATATAAAAACACGATCAGCGGCAGTGAACAAGCTGGACACATCGGCAAATAGCTAATTAAGTATCATACTTAATTCTGTTTCATTAATTTAACGAATGGCAGAGTAATTTTGTAAATACCGCTAAAACATGGCAATAACTGTTTGCAAGCCAGTACTGTTACTTATACTGTCATAGCTTAAAGGTAAAGGTAAAGTCTATTTAGATACTAAAACAGATCCTTAAATCAATAACTTGACAAACCAATGGTGCAGTTTACCACACTTTAAACCAGAGATGTTTTAAAAACATAAATGTGGCCCAGAAATCAACGGATTCATCCATAGTTGCAAGTGAATATTTCACAAAGCTTTCTCAGCCATTCGAGGAACTGAACCGGTTTTTCTGGATAACAGAACGTTTTGCCACTTGGTAACCCAAGTTCACCATCTCAAAAAAAAAAGAACTGTGTGTACTATAAAAGATAAGTCTTGTGGCACACATGGGTAGTACATACACCATAAGCTTAGGAGTTCGGTATTTCATCATAACACTGTTAACAGGTGACTGGTTTGACGTTTGATTTTGATGTCATGTAGTGTGAGACAAGTCTGACTGTTTACGTCAACACGAACCAGTCTTCGTGCAATGACTGTTATTAATCGATGATAATTCAGATTATGTGTTCAGTAATCATTATTTTTCATTCAAACACTTACATTCCTTCTCGTAACAGATGCACTATGTACAGCTTGCCACGACGCTACTAGATTTCGAAACGAGGCTAACAGGATGTTCCTGCCACACCCCCAACGAGCATTCGGAGGTAATCGGTTAGTTACGGATATTACGGTTATGCTTGATGGTATATGGAGATCGTGAAAATGGATCGTTGGTGCTCTGATTGATCAAGACGTATCGTCTGCTACATTATATCTATCACTTCGTTAGCCTCAATCCTGAAATAGTGCCACATAAAAATGCGATACCCACCTGAGCACGAAGGATATAGTGATAGTGATACAGTCGAAGCGATGTTTTCAGCAGTCGCAATAATGAAGTTGTCCACATTAACTGACATAAACTTTTTACAACAATTTACAAACAATCTTTGAAGAAGACAAATAGACTATCCTACGTCATATAAATATAAGCATCTTTTCCCAAAATTGATATGAAATAGCAGCAGGACCTTAGACTTTATAGGCTTTATAGCTTATATACCCCCCCCACTACAACAAACACGCACGAACGCACGCACACTTAAGGGATTTAAGAAGTTGGGAAAGCTGTCCATAATGACAAATTCTATTGATGAAAACTTTCGTGAGTGCGACGTTTCGATACAGATGGTTTTCTTCCAGTGGCTTGAAAATATATACATCTCTCCGATTCATCGGTTTCATTGATTCCAGCTTGACAACGGTACAAGAATATGTATTGTCGCACTCACGAAATAATAGAAGTTGCCATCCATAGAATTTGTCATTATTGTATCATAACGTTTCTGCTATAAACAACCATAGTTGCAATCGCCTTGATATTAATGCACACGCCATATAATTATTGTTATAAGATGCGCATGCAATTGTTGAAATAAATACATAACCCAGAGCTGAATATGACCGACGTGAATATGTTATGAAGCGTTATGAACAGTTATTTGACTGACATCATCACATAAAAACATCAAGTATTGTAATTGTAACATAATGTATATAACTTACTGACATGGCAGAGTCATCTATATATGTAATATAATGTATATAACTTACTGACATGGCAGAGTCATCTATATATGTAATATAATGTATATAACTTACTAACATGGCTGAGTCATCTATATATGTAATATAATGTATATAACTTACTGACATGGCAGAGTCATCTATATATGTAATATAATGTATATAACTTACTAACATGGCAGAGTCATCTATATATGTAATATAATGTATATAACTTACTAACATGGCAGAGTCATCTATATATGTAATATAATGTATATAACTATAACTTAACATGGCAGAGTCATCTATATATGTATAAAATGTATATGAACTTACTAACATGGACATGGCAGAGTCATCTATATATGTAATATAATGTATATAACTTACTGACATGGCAGAGTCATCTATATATGTAATATAATGTATATAACTTTACTGTAATCTATATACATGGCAGAGTCATCTATATACTGACATGGCAGAGTCATCTATAATAATATAATGTATATAACTTTACAGAGTCACTATATATGGCATCTATATATGTAATATAATGTATATAACTTACTAACATGGCAGAGTCATCTATATATGTAATATAATGTATATAACTTACTAACATGGCAGAGTCATCTATATATGTAATATAATGTATAATACTAAACTAACATGGCAGTAATCTATATATTTAATATAATGTATATAACTTTACTATCTATATGTATATAACTTACTAACATGGCTGAGTCATCTATATATGTAATAAAATGTATATAACTTACTGACATGGCAGAGTCATCTATATCTATATATGTAATATAATGTATATAACTTACTAACATGGCTATATATATGTAATATGTAAATGTATATAACTTACATGGCTGAACATGGCAGAGTCATCTATATATGTAATATAATGTATATAACTTTACTAACATGGCAGAGTCATCTATATATGTAATATAATGTATATAATATAATATGTATATAACTTACTAACATGGCAGAGTCATCTATATATGTAATATGACATGGCAGAGTCATCTATATATGTAATATAATGTATATAACTTACTAACATGGCAGAGTCATCTATATATGTAATATAATGTATATAACTTACTAACATGGCTGAGTCATCTATATATGTAATAAAATGTATATAACTTACTGACATGGCAGAGTCATCTATATATGTAATAAAATGTATATAACTTACTGACATGGCAGAGTCATCTATATATGTAATAAAATGTATATAACTTACTAACATGGCAGAGTCATCATATATATATGTAATATAATGTAAATAATTTACAAACATGGCTGAGCCATCTATATATGTAATATAATGTAAATAATTTACTAACATGGCAGAGTCATCTATATATGTAATATAATGTATATAACTTACTAACAAGGCAGAGTCATCTATATATGTAACATAATGTGTATATAGCTTACTAACATGGTAGAGTTAGTGAGTTTAGTTTTACGCCGCACTCAACAATATTCCAGCTATATGGCGGCTGTTGGTCGTCAACAACCCATGTTTGTCTTAAAACGTGACCAAACGGTTTGGGTTTTCAGGCTCACTGACATATATCACATCTTATCCCTATTGCGTAGATCGATGCTCATGATGTTGATCACAGGGTTTCTGGCCAAGACTCGATTATTTACAGACCGCCGCCATATAGATGGAATATTGCTTAGTGCACCGTTAACAAACAAACAAACAAAGCGTCACTCAGTCGATTGTGGAAATTGTATATAGGGTGGCATCAGATATAATGGGGGAACGCAACCCACCATTGTTAAATGCAGTTTGAATGGCTTACGCTACCGTCACGCTCATGTACTACTCTTAGTACAGATGTGGCGACGTTACGTCACTTTGCAGCAGGATATGATACCCACCACTATTCACGACGTGTTGTAAAATACGTTTTGGGGCAGCATTACTCTGCCTTACTGCCATGACCGACTGTTTCTCCAGACCTCCGCCCTATCATGTCTTGGGTTAGATGTAGCGACGTTTACGACAGGACCAGAACTAACCGGAAACGCTAGCTCAATCAGGACAATTGCCTGTGTCATCAACGCTGTATCAACAGAAATGGTGGTCATACCCGATACCTACATTATTGACTAAGTTGTTACTCCATCCATATTTTATGGCGCGTCTCTCTTTCTCCTGTTACTAAGGCAATGAATTTATCATATAAAACATTGAGTAGACGAATGAACCAAGTTAACTCCAATAACATAACATTTACAACACTTTATATGACACCTACTTACTCATTTCCGTTAGTATGTATTTATTTCCATTAAGTAGTGTCGTCAAACAAGCCGAAAAGAATGGAAAATACCGTCATGGAGCAGTTCCTTGGAAACAGCGAGTATGATGAAAGTATGTCGAGTGATTATAGTAAGTTATATAAACTGTTTAATGATCGATTATTCTTCCTTTCCTCTGTTTAATATGGTCATCAATATATTTTTTGTAAATGTTTGATTAAACAAGGAGATTTCTGAGGAATTATAAACAGTATGGACAATCGGAATATTGCTAGGTTGAGCCCTTGACAACAAAGCATTGTTATGAATACCATTACGTAACAATGTTTTTATTGATCATATAAATTATTTTGGTATTTATTTTGTATGGTATTTCCAATGTTTCTACTTGACGTTTGCAGAGTTATATTACTTCGTCCAAGTATTTTATGTGCTCTCCGTGTTCCACTGAGGTGTCGAACGAGTTAAAAAATAGAAGAAAAAACTTTAAAATGTGGAGCACCGAATTTAAACATTTCTGACGTCACCCAACCATCTCTGAGGTCACGATTCTGTGACGTCACGCTATTGTTGCCCATATGCGCATGGAAACAAGCCGCGTGTACAACAGCGCCAATAACTATCATCTAAAATGGGATGTAAGCAAACTAAGGTTACACCACTGAAGCAAACATCTCCCGAGGAGGCTCTGACGGGCAAGATCAACTGCCCTCACGAACTGTACTACGCCAAGAGTCAGGTGACACCGTCCACGCCCCGTCTGTCAGGGGACGAGATTCTCCAGCAGCTCAGAGAGGAGGGACTGGTCCCTGTCCACCAGACAAGCGGAGGAGTGGCCTTCTCTGTGCCCGCCACCGAGTGTGTTGGTTCCCGCGGCAAACCACCCCGACGTCTGGAGCAAATCCCAGTGCGATGCTTCTACACAGCAGAGAGGAGGAGACAGAAGGCTGACGCTTTCAGATTTAACAAGTATGTCATTACCTCAGATGTACGTTGTTGGGGGATTGTCTTATTGAATATTGTGATCCGTGCTCTGAAAGAGAGACGACATGTAGTCTAACGTTGCATACAATAGTTTCAATAATGCCAATACTGATTTACTTTTGAGCCTTCGTCCGAATTGATTGACATGGTCCGATTACAAACATCTATTGCAGACTAGTTGATCAAGTTCAGAGGAAACAGTTGGACAGAGAAATAAAGCACAAAGCTGCGAAAGACGAGAAGAAACGTCGCCTGTTCTTGAAGAAAATGAGGGCGGAGCATCAGCTCCAGATGAGGGAGGAGAAACTAAAGAATCTGGACGAAGATCGGGCGGAGAAGAAGAAGTCATGCAAGAAATAGATGAACTTGGGTGTGGGTGGGGCTTGGGTGGGCAGGGGTCGGGGGATATATAACATTTATAAACATAACATATTCAAAACGAATTCCATATCAATTTGTGTTCATTTATGTAACATCATTTGTTTCGAGTATTTTGTTTTGTAGATCGTTGATGATAGGCCGTGGATCAAGGTCAGGCATTCAAGAAAGTAACTATGCACTGTCCAAAAAGATTTCAATAAATGTGTACATGTACGGTTTGTACTGTAAAGATTTATAGCATATTCAAAAAACGAATTCCATATCAATTTGTGTTCATTTATGTAACATCATTTATTTCGAGTATTTTGTACAGTGTCTAATGGTTCTGCCAAAGAGGATTTAGTACCTTATTATATAATATATATATACCATTTTGTATTTTGAATTGTAAATAAAATATTTAAACTTAACTTTCGAAGTATGTCATTACATACCATCGGTTGCCATCGTTTCCGCACTGATCGTTTACCGAAATATACTCATGCCAATAATGGTTGTCACCCCCTCCCCACACACACCTCACACCCCTAGTATCTAGGAATGTGTATACCTGTATATAAATTACGCCTGTATTTGTATAATATATGGAAAGGGTATACACAAACCTCTGTACAGAGAACACAATACAGTCAGTGATGCCAATTCTCCTCGTCTTACACTGTTGTGGTGTATGGAAAGATATCGATAAATATATATAAATAGGTTTATTTTAATGATTCATTTGCACCTTTTTCGTCGGAGATCAGCATATCTGAACCGCCTTTAATGAAATTCAACCAGAATCTATTATTACACTAAGACACAGCATGGATGGTGGCTTTTCCTAAAGAGAGACTCCCGGATTGTGGCTTTTCCCGAAGGGAAAGTCTCCAAAACATCTGTCTCGAAAGGCCGAAGCTTTGAAAATTACCTGTTTCGTAAAGTAGTCAACAATAAATGTCAGTTCAAAGATCTTGACTTTTAAGGTTCTTCTGTTACCCGATATTATTTGCGTAATATAAATAGCATAAGTGTGCATAATACTGTGTACTCGCACAAAAACTCATTTATTTTATTTGTTATATGTTCTTGGGAATTTCTAAATTATGAAGTGAAAGAAATAACGCCCTTGTCCCATGTTTACATTTCAAATAAAAGTTCTAGAATTCTTTGACTTCTTAATGACCAGTTGACATATCTTACACAAGACAAGGGGTTATCTATGGACATATCTGAACAAATATTTCTCTCTTTGTTATTATTCTTGTCACAACGCATATAAAAATATTTCTTAATGGCACAATGTTTATACATGGAAAGTTTTTTCGATATGAATCTCAAATAGCACGATGCTTAAAACTCATATCGATTCCCTTTTGGCAGATACAATACTTTTCACAAAAGCCAGTTACAAGTTCTAGAAATTAGCTCAATGCTGTGAAGTTAGTCTCTTCTCTTCTCACACATGTCAGGGGCGGTGGGGTAGTCTAGTGGTTAAAGCGTTGGCTCGTCACGCCGAAGACCCGGGTTCGAATCCCCACATGGGTACAATGAGTGAAGCCCATTTCTGGTGTACCCCGCCGTAATATTGCTAGAATATTGCTAAAAGCGGCGTAAAATCAAACTCAGTCAGTCAGTCAGTCTCACACATGTCAGATTGTATATTTCACGCAGGTGTTCGCTACCACTGTCACGTGCTGGCATGGTTGCGAGTTTAACCAATCAGGGCTCACTTCCGCTGCACGAGTTTCTCGAGCGCGTTAATCTCAGTTAATGGAAGCAGATGTGTTGTATATTTGTTAGCTGTGTTACAGACTAATTTCAACAAACTGGTGACAACATGAGCTTTGACCAAGTTTATGCAGTTAAAGGTCCATCAGTTGCTCTTTTGGAAACTTTGGTTCGTGAAGAGAGGAGGCTGTCAACGAAAATGATATGTTTTTGTCAACGGGATACTTTGCCTGTGTGTAGACTTCCATGGAACGCTGGACACAGAGATAAGGTAAGTGCTGGGATATTTACAAGCGGAATGAAACACTCTGGTTATGACCACATAATGTATATACCGGTAATGTTTAGGTTGATATTAACTATAGAGTAGTACTATACTGAGCGACTGAACTGTGTTGAAATTTGTCGTTAGATGTTTAGCCCCCATCAGCTGACTGAAAGGCTTGGGTGGTGAGGCTATGTGACGGCATGTTTAAACACCGGATTCATACAGGTGGGATATTTCTGAATAGGGCGTAAACTAGAAAAGAAATACCCAATGGTACATGTTTGGGTTAGAACAGGACCATGATAAATAATTTGTGTGTTTGTTTAAAGAAGTTTGCATTTAGCTATATAAATATTCGTATCAGCTTCGCTTGATATTACATAAAAACTCGTGCCTAAAATGGTGCAAGTCAATATTCATTGCAGTAATGTTTGTTTTGACGATCATTATACTGCCCTACCATTCCTGGGAACGGTTTGAAAAGAACGAACGGGGTAATGCGCGATTCTAAAGTGTATAATGGGGAGACAAACAGAAGTCGTACCTGTCCACGGTGTGTTATGACCGATGGTGACTTTGTCTATATGTTCTATGAGTATATATGCGACAGCCGTGAAGTTAAGCTCCATTTAAATGCACGGACGTATGATCTTGCTAACTTGCTAAATATCTTTACGTATCAGGATGCAAGATAACTAAACAAACATTGAATATGATATCGAATATGTACCATGTATTCATGGATGGGCTAAAATATACATTTTAATTGTGACACCTGGAATATATTTCCCTCATATATCAATATAGCAATATAAGGATATATGTACAACTAGAATCAACAAGAATTGTACATATGTAACTATTTTGAAAAATGCAGATTCCAATGATTGAAAGATCGTTCATTCCTTATGAGACTAACAGTTAGCAGCTGGTTTGCTTGTTTCTTCTGGTTTAATTAGCAAATTAACACAAAATGCGTGTTTATCTAATGAATTTATGCTTCTGCATTAAAGCCAGTTATATCTAAAAATCAACAAAAACTGCAATATTTCTAAGTAAATCATGGAGCACCAACATACGATTTGTACAATCAGTAAAATTAGTAGAGATAGATAAATACAATCAGTAAAATTAGTAGAGATAGATAGATACAATCAGTAAAATTATTAGAGATAGATAGATACAATCAGTAAAACTAGTAGAGATAGAATGATAGATAGATAGATACATCATACAAGTATAGTTGAAAAGTCTTCGTGAGTCCAATTTAGTCTTTATATCAAAATATAGGAATTTCTTGTACGCTTCAGTGAATATTCAAGAAATGTTTGATACAGTTTATATTCGCGAAATGTCCAACATGGGAGGAAGTAAAAATTACACCATAGTGTGAATATCGTTGTGTATTGTCACTTAAATGAGGTCTTCAACACCAACACACCTCCCACATTTATCTGACACACTATATCAGATCTAGAATACCTTTAAGACACTTTAAACACAACTGACACATTTTAGAGCTGAACCTGTGCATTTTGCGACGTAATTTGTAATTCCGTACTTTGCCTTCGAACAGGACTGCTTCACTACGATTTCCTCCGATACGATGCTGACAAATGGATACAAGATCTAATGTACTTACTCATGCAAGTGATAATTACATTAAAGCGTTTCGAACTGGTCCATAAAGAAACAAAAAACAATTCAGTTTTCACAGGAAGAATTTATTACAATAATTCACTGTTACATATTTGACAACAGGCGTACATCAGCTGTTGAGATTTTATTGATGATGACTCCTTGTGATGTTTCTCCAGCGCGTGCAGGACTAATTGTCGCCTACCTGTGGACAGAAGGAAAAATATAAGTTACTGCAATTGTGATGCAATAACGAGTAAATAATATGTCTACAGATACTGACCAATGTCAAAATTATACCGGTATTTAAGTCTTAATTAACATAAAAACTCGTGTTTGTACCCGATGGTGCATGTTATTAACATCATATGTACTTATAGGCCGATTGCTTTTTGAAATATGAAAGTAAATTTATAGCTAATAATATATATGTATTACAATAAGTGAATAAAATAATGATAAAATCATGTCAATATCCCTATTAACATGCGAATGATTTTTATCAGGATATGCCGATCTAATGTGGTGCGAATTAGGACCGACTACTCTGGTATTACATGCTGGTTACTCAGGTGGGTAATGACGTGTTGAGTGACTGTGCAGTTGCCTGGACATGGTGATCGTGGGTTCGAATCTGGATTGGCCTTGGTTTTACCCCATGACTCTCTCAGCACCACACCCGTGCTTGTAGATTTCACCGAAAAGGTAGACACCTAGAACTTCATCACCCTGGACTTTCTCCTTACACGCCCGCATGTTACCAGATACTGTTCAAAGCGAGCTTAAACCAACTCATTCACTCAGTCATGTGACATACAAAAGAGCTCCTCTTAGGGTGGGTTTTAAATCATATCATGTATTTCTGTACGATATTTATCAACCTTATTCATCAGTACCAGAACAGAACTAATGGGTCGGACCATACTCGAACTGATCATGGTTGGGGGAGTCGGCTGCAGGCTCCAAGGACTGCAAGCGCAAACTGAGGTTATTTACCGACAGTATAAACCTTTGACAAATCGGTCCTGTTCCCTGTATCATTTTCGTTGAGAAAGTAATGAGTTAGAATCCACATATCCGTCTTGTGATGAGTCTGATGTAATTTATGCAAACAGTAAGCGTTGCTTGCGGGTTTTTATAAGATATCTATGAAGAAACAAAAGACGTGCATCCTATAACAAAAGAAAATACAATGCAGCTGGAAAGTCAGGACAATAATGGGTATTAAATATTGATTAGTTACGGTGTAAGTAAAAAACCCTTGTCCCATAATGCCTAAATGTTTTACTAATATTAGCGTTTAAACAGCGTTTATTTCTAAGAAATAGACAAAACAAAAAATGTCCGCATGATCCGAAAAGTATATAAACTTCCGAAAGGTTAAAAACCCAGGAGGTTATCCATACAGTTGTTATCTATGATTCGGTGCTAGTCATGATGTATGACACAACGTCCAAGGTAGCAGGATGTCACTCTAAGCGTCCATCTTGACACCACACACTTTGCACAGAAATCCAAGAGGAACACTGAAGAATTCAAGAGTTTGCAAGATGTCACTTTAAGCGTCCACCTTGACACAGAACTCTCCTCTCAAGAATCCAGACACACGTGACAGGAAAACTCGAACTGGGGACTGGGTCGGGGTGTCGTCATCATCGATGTTGATATCGACGAAGTGATGGGCATTACGGGGAAACGGGTTAGAGAGAGGGGCAGGGAGATAGGTGGGTAGGGTGGGAAGCTCCGACATGGGTTCAAGGATGGTCATGGATCTTCCAGTAGGACGCTGAGAAGGAAGGAGAGAATGGCATGGAGATAGTGACAGAACTTTGAAGGTGGAAGTAGAGAAAGAGGATGGGATATATTGGAAAGAAAATGATAAGGTAAACCTTATGATATTAGAATAAAATGTTAGTCTTAAAGAGGAGTGGTTATTACTACAGGTATATATTAGAGACTGAATCAATGGTAAGAGTTACTTTACCAACATACACCATAGGCTAAATCTATGATAAGAGTTATATCAGTAACACATTAAATAGTTGAGTCACTCATGAAATACAAGACACACAGTTTCAGTTCTCTCAGTGACTCTGTAAATTATTGAATCCTTAAGACACCCAACTGCATGGAGGTACTGGATTGCAGTCTTCTGTCTCCTCTGCAGCTGATCTTTCACTCTCTGGAGTCTGTTCTCTGTCTCGGTAGACACGCTTCTGTGTAGGGGGGTGCAGCTCTTAGGCCGATCTGGGCAATCTTGGTCCGCTCAACATTCTCAATCCCAGCGATCAAGTCAATGAATTTGTATAAGTTCGGGTGGCGACATGGCAGGGAACGGTTCATCCGTGAATGAAATCCTTCCAAACTGTTATTGGTTCATGGGCCAACTGTGGTTCCACAGTCCTATTGGAAACAAGGCGTCGTAGTCTACTCATGTTGACATAACATAGTCGTTGAACTCGTCAGCTCTTGCTATTTCTGGTGTTGCATTCATCGACTCCAGCCAGATGTCTTGAACCAGATTTGCAGAAAGAAGGGGAAGACCAGCGGCTCTGCGAATCCATATCTGTACATAGGGTCTTCACTGTATGGGACGGACAAACCAAGAGCTTGTGTCTTTCGCCAGATCGCTTGAGTGCAATGGAAGAAACATCCAGACTCATGAACATTTGGAAATTCAAGTTCAACTGCTTGAATGGCAGGCTTTTCTAAGTCTGTCTGAATGCTAGCACGGGATAACTGTCGATGAAAGATTTCTTCCACCGATGTTTTCAGCTTGCTGATCCAAGTTTGGCATGAAGTATGTACAGCTGGTTCCAGAGAAGTGGAGCTGCAGAAAAAGTCCCATCCATATAAATGGCATCAGCTGACTGGAGGGCAGCAAGCTGTTCATCTGTAGAGAAGACCACCACCTTGTGTTCATCACCATCTGTAAACCACAGGAATCGGTGGCCATCTCTAGTTTGTGTCCAAAGATCTTCTATAACATTAGTCCTGGCTGCTGGCAGTCGGGGGATGGTTGCGCGCCTGTGTCTGTACAAGCCGCTTCTAACGCTGGAAAAAGAAGGGAGCTGCTGAACTTGATCCAGTGGGAGTTGGCCTATCTCTTTATTGTATATCACTTGGACAGGAGGTGTTTCTTCCCGAGCTCTCTTCCTCAAATTGCTGACAAACTTTACTGATGTTTCATCTGATGGGGGATGACAGTGCTCGGAGGTATTCCTCGGGTAATCTCCAACTGTTGTGCACTTGCCACGGCATGTCTTAATTATACACTTCCAGTGGACTGATTCGCCTCTAGTGACATTCTTCTGGTAACGGAAACTGTCAAGTAGCACCTGAGGTTTACCTTTCTGACAATATAC